TTAGTTACTCTATCTATTATTATTCATCATTGATTTTCATCTCAATAACACATTTTTTACAATTACAAATAACATTTTACTTGGACAATGCATGCAAAATTATTAATCTTAGTGTGCAATGTTTAGTTTTACGAGTAATATATGATTTGTGAAATATTCGGGGTAGTCTTCATTTTATTCATACGTTCTCAAATCATATCTAGATAATATCATATGACCTGGCTTGTTAATGTAGTTGTATTATCTTATTTGATTCATTACAACGTGCATGTGCATGTACACATGTACGTGTTTACAGTGATTGCGGGCATGGAGAGATTTGCATTCAAAGGGGTAGCATCAAATTTGGTGACATATCTAACAGATATTATACATATGAGCAATTCAGCAGCAGCTAAAACTGTAAATAGTTGGTGTGGGCTTACATCTATTATGCCACTCTTGGTGGCTCCTCTTGCTGATTCTTTATGGGATCACTACTCAACAATATTGGTATCATCGTTATTCTATATTCTGGTAAGTTCTCATCTATGTGAGATTTTTTTTTTAAGTGGAAAGGTGAACAAGAAGTTAGGATAATATTCTTTCAAGACTATATCCTAACTTATCAGAATAAATAAAAAAAAGAAAATCTACTATCTATAAACGGATCAATATTTTAGTGAGTTTGCATAAAATGGCCCAAAGAAACAACATAGTCTGCTGCTCTATTACTCTCTCTATATACAATCCTTGTGAGTTGTGATCTAAAGGTGTAGTGTAGCTATAGGATGGTAGCATATACAGCCATAATCCCTTGGCCGTCTTGGGACTTTTGGCTCATGTTCGCATCCATATGGCAATAATAGGGTAGATGGGAGCTAAGAGTTGTTTAAGTCGTCATGAATTAAAAGTCACGCGATACATATAAGTTTAGTCACTAACTAGGTTAGACCACAAGCAATGCATATAGATGTTGAATAATCATAATAACAATATGATTACATAAGAAATAATCAATCGATTTATCGGATATTAAAACACATGAAATATATATGAGTATTAAAAACAATAAAAACATGTGAAAGGAAATATTTAAATATGTTATAGTTATAATGTGCAAGTTGATATTTTAGCAAGTTCACTTTAAATTTTATATAAAAAAAAACTCATAATTAAAGATGCAAACTTTATTTTTATATAACAATGATTTATTTATTAGAAAGTAATTTTGGCGAGAAATTTTTTGATAATACAATGTCAAATGTTCTCTTGGATTCGCTTGTAGTTGTATGTAACAGATAAGCCTTGAGGATTTACGAAATGCCACTCATATTTTGCCTTAGTCGTTGAATTCACTTGGCTATTTTGTGATTGTGATAGTTACTAATTAAACAAACACCCATGTAAATTGATAGGTTTTGTCTGAGTGAATTGAATGCAATACAAATATAGAGTTCTTCCATGTGTATTGGAGAAGATTTTGAGTGAAATCCTATCAACCTACCATATATTTAGAAGTTAAACATTTTTCAATTATGATAAGAAATCTCCTCTATAATAATACTACTCCGTACAAAGGTGTTACCTAAAAATATAAAATTAAAATAAATGTATGGATTCACAATTTCACATCAATACATCATACAGAATGTCAGATGTTGGTGCCTTGGTGGTTTCCACGGCAAAATGCACTTTCATTTGTTACCCTGATGAATTGCAAATGTGTTCTACCAACTTTTTTATGGGTACATATAGTGCTATAAAAGTATAAAAGGCATAATGTAGATAGAATTTGATACCAATATTGAGTAGTACCCTAGAGAGTAGAGACCAACCAATCAAACTAGTTGCTTTCAATAAATAAAATTTATTAAAAAAAAAAACCCTAAAAAAAACCAAGTTGATATCTTGCGACAACAATCTTTTTATCATTTATTTGAACAAATATTATTATGTGTTGTACGAGTATAAGGAATTAAGTTGTTTTTAGCTTTTACCATATACTCTGTTACATACCATAGGCCCATAGCAGAAGTTTGGAAGATGATTTTGTTACTCTCGATAAGTAGAGCACAAAATTGTGTGACTCATAATGAAGGTGTCAAAATCAATTAGAGTGTCAAAATCATTTCCCTATTAACTATCATTCGATTTCATTTTTCATTTCACAATTATAGAGGGTCTTTAATTATTAAACCTCCAATTATTCTAATTAAATACTCCTCAAACGTCTTTGTAAAAAATTCTAGCACAAGTATATTACACCTTAAATCTAAATACATTGCAGATTCGACCAACGAACAATCACCTTAATAAAAAAATTTATCTGAAGTAATACAACATGTGAGTTAGTATTGATTCGACTTAAAATCCACTTTTAATTATGAAGAATTCCATTTCAAAAAAAAAAAAAAAAAAGCTACGATTAACATCTCTTGCTTGGAGTTGCATCACTTCCAAACCACCCTCCTCATCTTTTTTTTTTTTTTTTCCCCCTTTTTGTCTTGTTAAGCCTTTACTTATTACTACTCCTTTGCCCCTACTTAAAGGGCCTTGCAGCATTAACATCAACTACATTCGAATGGGCATGGCCAGTGAACAAGAATATCTCCAACGCATTCATGTTTTGGTCACTCTGTTTAATATCACTCGGCCAAGGAGGCTACAACCCTTCCTTGCAAGCCTTTGGAGCGGATCAACTCGGAGAGGAAGAAGACTTGCCCACTGATCAAACAGACCTTAAAAAATCCAGTAAAAGGACCCTATTCTTCACTTGGTGGTACTTTGGTGTTTGCAGCGGCAGCCTCTTGGGAGTCTCTGTAATGTCATATATCCAAGACACTTTAGGCTGGTCTCTAGGCTTTGCAGTTCCTACCTTAGCCATGATCGCGTCTATCATCTTGTTTTCCAGTGGCACCAGAAGCTATACATTTAATTTCACTAATGATCACAAGGTTGATAATCCTAATCCGTTCAAGACTACGGTTGATGGTCTAAAAGCTGCTATATCAAGGATGTTCAACTGTGGCATCGGTGAATCCCATCGCAAAGTCGATGTTCCAGAGTTAGAGTAAGTTTCTTCTATTTCAACAGAATGCATTAACTTGAATAATCAAAAATATTTTTACTTTGTAATTTATAGGTACTCGCATTTGATAAATCAAAGCATCTTTCATTTTACCTTTCAACAAAACAGAATTTCTAACAGTAATGGTCTTTTTCCTCTATATCTTAAAGGCTGCAGGAAAACCAAATCTCAAGCCAAAAGTTAGTAGGAACCAAGGAAGTTGATGAGAAACCCAGTAAAAGAATTCACCTTTCTGACAATATTAAGGTATCACTAAGGCTCTTACCTATTTGGACCATGTTGCTGCTGTTTGCTGTGATCTTCCAACAACCAGCCACATTCTTCACCAAACAGGGCATGACAATGAAACGAAACATAGGCACCAAGTTCAAGATACCACCAGCGACTCTCCAAGGAGCCATTACTGTCTCAATTATTCTCCTGATGCCCTTGTACGACAAGATTCTCGTTCCATGTACACAAGTCATCACCAGAAATGAGAAGGGAATAACCGTCCTGCAGAGAATGGGAGCAGGAATGGTCCTTTCTATCATTGCCATGGTGATTGCTGCCTTGGTAGAAGAGAAGAGACTCAGAACTCCATCCTTGACTATATTTTGGTTGCTACCACAATACATATTACTAGGCATATCAGACATCTTCACTGTTGTGGGAATGCAAGAGTTCTTTTATGGTGAAGTCCCTGTTAAAATGAGGACAATGGGAATAGCCCTGTATACTAGTGTGTTCGGAGTAGGCAGTTTCCTTAGTGCTATGATGATATCTTTGATCGAGATCTTCAGTACAAGGGGAGGAAAGCAGAGTTGGTTCTCAGATGATATGTCGAAAGCAAGGCTGGATAAGTACTATTGGCTACTAGCTATATTAAGTACATTCAGTTTGCTGGTGTATATAATTTTGTGTAGATTTCACAAGAGTAGGAGTGATTTGGGTGATGAAAATGATGTATAAAGTTTCGGTTTATAAATACACTAGAGTAGTAGTGACTTGATTGATGAAAACAGTTTATAAAGTTCTGGTTTATCAACTTTTCTCTCGCTCTAAGCTGTTCTTGTTACCAAATATAATCCTCCATATCAGACGGACAGGTGATTGGAATAAACAGGAAACTAATAACAGAAACAGTGGTGTTGTGAGAAACTGTGAGCACATGAAAGTGCAAGACTAAAATTTCTTAAGCAATGCCTGCTGGAAGACAAGGCAATTGGGTTAACAGAACAGCAGGCACAGATGGAATCAGAGGTTACATGTAACAGGTGTATCGTAACATCAACACTGCTCAAAATTATAGTGCCGTGACACCATCCATCATAGCACGAAAATAGCAAGATGATTAGCTGTGATTTAATTCACATTATAAGATTGGCAAGTCACCCAAAGCTCAGGCTTATAAAAGAGAGTCAAGCTACCCAAAGCAACAATTACAGCAGGGGGGAAAATGGCAAATGTGTTCTTACGCGCAAGGGAATAACATCAAACATTGTGATCTTTCCACATATTCCATATCATAAAACAAAACATAAAAAAAATGTTTCGCTGATGATGAACCAAGCATGAAAAAACAAAGTAATCGTTGAATTGAACAGCTATACACACTAAACAAGAATTATGCCACAATAGAAAGTATAATTCCATAGAACTATAATATTTAAGCTTTCTTTGTTCATAATATACAAACAACACATTTTATGGCTGAAAAAGCTCCAAAAGCACTAACAAAGAATGAAATTGAATACTTCATAAAACTCATAACTATGATCACCTGATACAAAGATGAATAACCACAGCTATTTTCCTCGAATTCGAAGGCATAATTCCCTTTCCTAATCCTTGCAACTCCCTTTGTAATCTACATGTAATCTTCTATCTTTCGCATCAAAGGAAGAAATTCTTTTCGTTTACTCATACAAGCAGTCAAACACCAAGTTACCTAACTCACTGAATGAGAGCCATGACCATTAACACCCAACTCCACAGCACCACCATTCTCCCTTCTCAACCCTGCACTACCATCTTCCTGTTTAACCACATCATTGCCACCATCATCGGAATCCGAATCCAAAGTAAACGTCCCTTGATTCTCCACCCTTAGCACCTCAACACCGAGAGGCCGGTAACTCGAGTAATTACCCTCGGCAACAAACCTTCTTCCAAAACATGAATACACCACACAAATCAAAGTAACAAGGAAAGCAAGATGACAATTGAACAATAGCACAGCAATCGCTCCACCACGATGAGTATCCATATGACCATTACAATTAATCGTGTAATTCCCTCTACTCTTATGATGCAAAGCACAATTATTCGCAATCAAATCCGAAAAAAACGAAAACCCCATTTGCAAAATCCAAGTTCCCTTCAAGATTAACCCTAACCCACGACCCAATTTAGGGATTCCAGAATTTGGGGAAATCAATTCAATCATAGTAGAAAACACACAAATTGCAATCGGAACAAGCATTAAATCATAGTAACGATTCTCAATTCCATCAGAATCCTTCAAATGGAGATGAAAAAGTAGAAATTCTTCGAGAAAAGCAAATAGAAGGATCAAATTGAGTAAAGGAAAAGGGAAATTGAGCGATTTAGAGAAGAAATTACAAATACCCAGAAGAGAAAACATGAAGAAAAGGGATGAAATCGCGAGTACCTGAAGTTGGAGGGTAGAACCGATTTTGTCAGAGGAAGAAATAGCGTCGAAGAAGGAGAGAAGAGAGTTGATGATGAAGAGAAGCGAGAGAGATGCAGCGGAGATTAGGGAGATTGAGGAGAATCGACGGTGGTTATTGGGTGGTTGTTGCGGTGATTGGGAGGAAGAGGAGAGAGATTCCCAAGCTCCGAGAAGGATGAAACTGCCACCAGCAAATGCCATTGAAAACAACCCCATTGTAGTTTGATGGTTTTCTGGGAATTGGAGTTATTCTTCTGCAAATGATCTGCAAAGAAGATGAAGATGAAGAGGTTGGTCAAAGGAGAGAGAGTGGTAGAATGCAGAGACAGCAGAGTGGTCGTTAAGTTGAAAAGGTCACCGGCCGTTACACGGTACGCTGCTGTAGAAGAATTTTCAGTTGCTTCAATTCATGCGTCCGGTTTTGACAAAATTGACTTATAAACTCCGTAATAACACGGAGTACTCGGTAAGGCTTTATTAGATCAGAATCTCTCATAGGGATTCGGGTTAACAAGCTACGCCTTATGAGAGCAGGGGAAAGCAGGAAAGATAATGGATTTCGTAATTCCCTCCTCAAATAGTCTCTTATGAGGTTTGATCCTACAAGTATCAAATTACTCGATTAATACTACTATAAATCCGAAATATGAGATTTAACCTTTTTCTAGTGTAGATACGGATTACCTTGTCAAATTGGCTCAATACGATAATGAACTTTAACTTATTAAGTATTAACTATTCAGTAATTGGCATTAGAGTCAAGTGGTGGTATTATTTGCCCAAGTGCGAATCAACATACATATACATGACATGTATCGATTTAAATGTCTTAAGTGCACATATTTTTATAGTAAAACTGAGATGAGCAAAATGGTTTGGCTAGCTATAGTGTATACTCTAATGTGACTTCATTCATAATGTATTACATAACTTATGAAATATGAAGTAATTGGTTATAAGAATTGATTTTCTTCATTGGGAAAGTTTTAAGGATAGTAGTTTCTCTTTTATTCATTAATTTAAGCATTCAAGCATCAAATAATATCTTTGTTATCCACTAAATTGCAATCACATCACGTAAGATCACACTTCAACATTATGTATGCCTCCAATACCCTTTTCAATCAAATAAGCAACTAGTAGCATGATATTTTCAATTAAAATCACATTTTAATTAAATTTCATTACCGTTATCTATTATTATCTACCAATTTGCATGTCATACACGAATTAAAAGTTTTTGCTTTAAACCCTCAATTAGGCACCAAATAACAATCTCTTATCATCAAACTTATCAAAAATCAAAATAGATTTACAATTACATCACGAAAAAGCACACTTCAACGCAATGTCAAAACTTTTACCAATTTCACTCAATTAGGCAACTCCTATCATCATCTTTCTTACTCTCACCTTAATCATATTCCTTTTTAATATAAAAGCAATCCATCTCTTTAAAACAAAAACAAAGTAATCCAATCTCCTTCTTCCTTCATTATCAATGGAACCCATGAAAATGACAAATTTTCCAATCTTCAAAGTAACCTCACTCTTCTCATATTTGATGTTGATGGTGTTACTCTTCCAGTTTAGTGTTGAAGGGCGGGTTTTATTTCCTCTCTCCAAACCAAACCCCAATGATGCTGCTGCTTACGCTCGTTGGTTGGTTTCCCAGAATTCTTGGGGTGTTCTCAAGTATATTTCTTTCTCTTCTTTTTTATCAAGTTCCAATTTTTCTTGTTAATTGATTACTGGGATGTTTACAATTTTTGTTTGATTGCAATTGTTTAATTGAAAATCCCTTAAATTTTGTATCTTAGATTATTTGGGTTTTTATTCAATCATTGTATTCTACATGGGTTTGTTTAGATTAAGGACATTGATATAATCATACGAAAGAATTGAATCAAATTACTTAGATTGGTGTTGACCGATTTTGGGGAAGCTGGTTTTTTTTGGATTGTAGTGTGTAGAGGGAGTGACTGTAATATAGTTGGATTCAATTCAATGTCTTCGAACACGTTGACCAACTAAGTTAGTAGACATCCACCCGAATACGAACTTTGAATATTAGCGTTCATCTTACTAAAGTAGTAGTTACATCCTTTTAATTCAATCATCATTCATCACAATGATTGAAGTGAACCATCTAACTTGTTTTGCTGGCCTTGATAAATCAAATGTAATTTTTTTCGTTCTTCGAATTCAAAACTGAAAAGTATCATCTTTTGGTTTTATATATAATGTGTTTATGTGTTCAATTCAAGGTGAAAGTAATCTGTTCAGGCTTTAAACTAACATTTTCATCATTTGTTTTGCAGTACCATTTCGCCAGGTTTGGGAGGAGCACCTTTTGGGTATTCACTCTTTCCCCAACTTTGTTATTCTTTTCTCTTGCACTTCATGGTTGTTGAATTTGTGTCGGGTCTTAGTGCTGAAGTTGGGTTCTGTGTATCGGTGTCACGTTTACTCATCACAGATATTGCATTGTTTGTATGTTTGATTTTGATAGTCTTTCAATGTCATGGCATTCATTTGGTTGGTGTTCTTGTTACAATTGGTTTGATTGAGCCTTCAGTGCTTCCGATGTGATGGCATCAATGTCGTCTGTCTATCAATTTCAATATAAGTTCCACAATCCGCAGGACCACATATCAAGTTTTTGAGGTTTTACCTATGCATGATCAATTAAATTGCTGAGTCTTATGCTTGCCACATTAGTGCCGTATGTTCTTGAGGCACGGCTGACAATAATGTCTTCATTGATCTTCTAGTAGTTCTTGAGACACATTAGCAAATTTCTGTTTTCACGTAATATTTACCCCAATTAATCTTCTAGTAGTTAAACTGCTGAGAGGGTCTTTGTCCTTACAACTTACAAATACATCCTTAAGGAGATGAAAGCTATTGTTATATTACAATCTGTGAACCCCACAGACTCTTTCTGAATTGATTTTAGGAATCATATCAATTGATTGACATTATGATGTGTCTGGAATCTGCATGTAGGAATGTGGTTTCGTTTAGTGATGGGAAGCCAGGCAAAGGTGCAGGTGTACCATATTTTTACTTGACAACCCTTGATCCAACCGCAGCAAATGCTCTGAAGGACCAAAGATCCTCATTGGCAATCAGCGAATACCCAATTGGGACTTGTGGAAAAACAGATCCTGAAAATCCCACTTGTGCAAAAATTACACTTACTGGAAAGGTGTGCTTTTCTTCAGTAATTCGTGGTTTTAGCATTTGGTGAATTCATCTATAAGCTTGTATGTAATGTTGTAGATTTTTTGCTTCAAATCTGGCTTCGAAACTTGGCAGCGGTTCAATCTGAAAGGCCATACTATGTTTACAATTAGTAAATTACATGTGGACTTGTGTGAGACTTATTAGGATATTAGTCTAATACTCCGTATGTAATTATTAGCAGTATTGATCAGAAATATGTGTACAGACTTATACTTCGTATGATTTACTGCCTTCGTGATCTTTTTCAGTTGAAACTGGTTGATGCAAACTCCAAAGAAGCAGAATTTGCAAGGTCTGCCTTGTTCGCCAAGCATGCTGAGATGAAAGGTAATCTTTCTATTATCTACTCCCTATTTGAGGTAAATGAAATTTTATTTATCCATGGGCTGGGTAATATTTTGATGCTAACACAGTGATTTATGTTTGAATAGGTTGGCCGGAGAGTCACAACTTCCAAGTCTTCAAGCTAGATATTGAAAATATATTTATGATTAACTGGTTTGGAGGTCCAAAACCTCTTACTGTTGATCAATATTTACAATGGAAAACGTGAGTGAATTTGCTCAATCATGATTCTGAATAATTATACAAGTACTTCGTGTATATGAAGCTCTAATTAGTTGAACTGCATAAATCTCATTTAATTGTTTTGTATGTGCAGGAACAAATTGGCAAACTCTTTGTAAATTCATGTGTTGCGACTCCATTTCTGATTCAGGCATGTTGTTTCAATTGTAAATGTCAAGGGTATATAAAACATTGTTTCTGATCAAAGTTACTATGCAACATGTATATCAATCTATACTGTCTATTGTAATTTGTAACCTGCTAATATGTATGTACATTATGAAAGTGGTATACACTATCAAGTTTATGTAAGTACTAAATTGGGTATACAGCAATATAATGGCAATTGGTATATATTTTGATCACTTCTATTTCTAGATAAGTGACGTTTAAGGTTTGCACCTTATTTTTTTGACAGCAAGAACAACAACATAAAACAGCAGATCAAAGTGCAACAAAATTCTATGCTACATTGCTACTAGCTATACCAGGAATCTCTGATAATGCTAACATTTTCCATTGGACTTGATTGCATGTTTTTAGCAACATCTAAAAGTCTAGAAACTGCAATCTGAGAATATCTTGACATCCTCCTTTCCTCTTCAGTAGTCTCTTCAGAACAGCAAATAATTATTCTGTCTGAACAGCTGAGTTTCTTTGTCAATCTCAATCATATTCCCATTCTCAAGTAGAACCCGTCCAATAGCCAGTTTCTTTTATTTCTTTTCCATGATCCATCAGCAAGTATCTTAGTCAAGAAGACCTTGTTAGTACAACACTCAGGTTTTCCTGGTTACAATCTTCTTCTGAGTTCCTCAGTGCTGAAGATGGTACATTTTGATTTCTCAAGCTATCAATTGAGCTTATACTACCTGAGATTCTCAGAAGTACCCTTAAATCTACAAAATACTCCATAACTCATTTTATAATTTTCAACAAATCTACAGAGGCTGGGAGACTGTTTCAAACTTTCAGATTCTAATGCTCTTTGAGCTATTAGGCCTGTCTTTCTTGCGAAATAAACTCATTCAATTTCGTATCTGGCCTGAAATAAAGACTGTAATACTGTATTTCAAAATAACATTAAGAAATGAGGATCTCCAATGTCTTGACATTGTTCAGTCCCTAAAAGATGTTTCTCATCTTCTGTAAACTGACTGCAGAAATGGCATGTTACTAGGATATTCTGCTTCCTAAGATTAACTGTGACTGGCAGAACTTTTTGCATAATCTTCTAGACTAAATGTTTCCTTTTCAGGAAGAGTCCATAGTTGTTTCTCGAGACTGTGAGCCATCCTTACATGAATTTTGATGTCGGTTCCCCATTTGGATCGGAAAGAGTGAGCAGATTTAGCGGTCAAGTTGGTCCAATATGAGCAGCCAGTATAATCCTTACTGAGTCGTAAGACTCGTAACTTAATCACAACTTATCTTCTAAAACTATGCCCTTATTAGTGTCCGAACTAATATGGGAAGAAGTAAGTTCTTGTATTGCATTTGAATTTGGCTAGAATATTTTAATCTGAGGAGAATAGCAAGTCTTGCAAGTTGCAACCAAATCACATGAACAGCTAGATATATGTACTTAAAGACCATAAGATTTAATGTTACTTAAAAAGGAAACTAGTACCCATCAAAACGTTGTTTTTATAGGAAGCAATAGTACTGTATCCTGTGAGAGTATCCTCTATCTTGCTGCTATCAGAAAAATAAAATGGAGTTGAAAAAGAGAATAACAAGAACATCTCCAATTTTCAGAGTAAATATTCTGCTAACATATTTGATTTTATGAATACATTGGGCTTTCGCCACCTGAAAATGCCCGACGGTCACCCGCATGCGGCTCACGCCATTCGAGGTGGCCCAGCCCAGCGTTCCTTTTGTGTTGCATTTGAGTGTGAGTGCTGATGGACGTTTGCTGAAGCTTTCTGTCTACAAACCCGACCACACTGACATTGCTGCCTACGCTTCGTTGGTTGATATCCCAAAACTCTTGGGGTGTCCTCAAGTAAATTTCTCACTTTCATTCTTTCAATAGATTCACCTGGTAAAATGTTCCTACTTTGTATATGTTATCTGATTGCAATCTGACTCATTTAGATATCAGTTTCTACTGTCTATTCCTCTGTTGATCATTTTGGATCTTATTCAATCTGTTTTCTTATATTTTATGTGCAATGTAATAGTGTTTTGTCAATTTATCTACTACAATATTAGGCAGATCTTTTGTGTTTTATATGCCGCTGTATTAGATTGTTCCCGTGTTAATTAGATGATCCATCTCTACTTATCTGAGCCTTTTTGGATGGACATTAGCTAAACTATAAAGCTCACAATCTTTTAATTAATCTAGTTTTTGACCAATTTGATGCACAAATTTTTTTTCATAAATTTAAAAATTGGTACTGTTTGTGAATGTAATAGAACAAATGAATGAGGTAAAGTCAAATGTTCTAAAAATGACTAGAGAGAATGAGTTTGGACTTTGGAGTTAGTTGAAAATTAAAAATTCAGGGTTTGACTTTTAAAAAAATATGACCAAGAGTTGACTTTTTTTTTTGGATAGCTGATCAAGCGTTGAATTTTGATCCTTTAGATTTAGATTGGGATGCAAAATATGTTTGCTCATTTGACATTATCAGAAGTGTTTGTTTTATATTACCTTTCTTTAAGTTGAAGTATGTCAATTATCTATTGTAAGTGAAGCTAATACTGTGTTGTTTTCATGTTATTGCAGTACCATTCCGCCGATTTAGGAGGATCTCCTTTTGGGTAATCTCTATTGTCCCACCTCTTTGCTTTTCCCTCTTTAAGGTGTCCAGTATACGCTCGGATGTAACATGTATACCATACACGATACACCTATACTCAAATTATGCTATTTAAACATTTAGAGGTCTCCTAATTGAGTAAATGGGCTAAGAAAATTCCCTTTTGTGACAATACACCCGGGTGTATGATTTATATAATGGACATTTCCTTAGCCTAATGTGCCTTGTGCTTACAATGTGGTTATCATGAATTCACGATGTTGCAATTGATGTTTTTCCTTTGTTATTGGAAGATATATTATTCTATCACGAAGTACAAATTAAAAAGGCACAAAAACTCAATGTCAGATGCTTGATTTTGTAAATTATCGTTCTTGTTGATGATAACAATGATTTACCTACATGTAGCAACGTGGTTTCGATTAGTGATGGACTTCCCGGTAAAAGTACAGGCATACCATACTTCTACTTGGCAAAATATGATCCCACCACTGCGAATGCTCTGAAGGACCAACGGTCTTCATTAACAGTAAGCGAATACCCAATTGGGACTTGTGGAAATACTGATCCTGAAAATCCCACCTGTGCAAAAATTACTCTTACAGGAAAGGTACGCTTTTCTGATACAGAATAGTAGAGTACATTTTAATTTTTATCGTAGATGATGTTCTGCTGCATACACCACTTGTTCATACTGGACCTGTGGTTTTACAGTTGAACCTAGTTGATGCAGACTCGAAAGAAGCTGAATATGCAAGGTCTGCCTTATTCACTAAGCATCATGAGATGATATGTATGTACATCCCCTCTACCACACATGACACACCCTTATTATCCTATTCGATAATTGTGTTTTCTTGTAAAGGCTAACACGAGTGCTTAATGTTTTGAACAGATTGGCCGGAGAGCCACAACTTCCAGATCTTCAAACTAGATATCGAAAATATATTTATGCTTAACTGGTTTGGAGGTCTAAAACCTCTTACTGTTGATCAATATCTGAATTGGAAAATAATGTGAGTTTAACTTCTAACATGATTGAGTTGTATGTTTGTACTTCATCTCTGTGAACTCATCCGCCACTCATTATGTATGCAGGCACAAATTGGAATTCTCCTTATAGAGTAATGCTTGCATTCGCGTTGGTGTTACATTCTGATTCTCAACTGTATTCTATCTTATCAGTCCTGCAAAATGTATCAGAGTATTCTCTATTGTAAGATTCTTAATATTCATGTTCTTGTAAGAGTTGAATTGGATTTACACTGTCAAAGTGGTAATTGCTGATTAATTTGCTTTCTTAACACTATGATCCCCTTCTTTTTATGTCTTAGTTGCTTTCCTTGCTCCTAAATTATGTACACCCTTCATTGAAGTCGTAGAACTCAATAAATTTGTGTTTGATTGTCCCCGTATCTTGTTGAAAATAAAAACATACTTCGTATTATAAATTGTCACATAATAATTATTAAATATATTCATTCATTAATTAATCTGAATCAATAAACACAATTTACATTGAAGCACAAGAAGTTCAAAACTCATACAAACACTACCGTTTTTATCATCCCTAAACTCCTAACAAGTAACAACCACTTCATTTACCAGGAACAAAGTTTGTAGCACAAGACCAAGCATTGTTATTAACCGGGTCGGCGAGATGGTCAGCTAGGCTCTCCAACGGACCCTTACCGGTAACAATAGCTTGTACAAAGAACCCAAACATAGAAAACATAGCCAACCTACCGTTCTTAATCTCCTTAATCTTCAACTCGGCGAAGGCTTCCGGGTCATCCGCCAACCCCAACGGATCAAAGCTACCACCCGGGTAAAGCGGGTCAACCACTTCACCAAGTGGGCCACCCGCGACCCGGTACCCTTCAACAGCACCCATCAAGATTACCTGGCAGGCCCAAATAGCAAGAATACTTTGGGCATGAATCAAACTTGGGTTACCCAAATAATCCAGCCCACCTTCACTAAATATTTGTGAACCAGCCTTGAACCAAACGGCCTCACCAAACTTAACCCCATTTCGGGCCAATAGCTCGGGAAAAACACAGCCCAATGCACCCAACATGGCCCATCTACAGTGGATTACTTCAAGCTCACGGTTCTTAGCAAAGGTTTCAGGGTCAGCTGAAAGACCAGCAGTATCCCAACCATAATCACCAGGAAATTCACCAGTAAGGTAAGATGGTGCCTCGCCCGAGAACGGGCCTAGGTACTTAACTCGGTCTGGACCGTACCATGGACTACTGCTTGATGATACTGTCTTGGGCTTTCCGGCTGTCTTTCTCATTGTGATCCTTCCCTCGCCGAGGATTTCTGAGGCGGTTGGGCCGAGCTTTAATGCCTTCCCGGCGAGAGAAGGTGAAGATAGAGCCATAGTGGAGGAAGCCATAATAGAGAGAGTGTAATAATGTTTGTAGTAATGAGTTTGTGTTTGATCATGGAATATGGGAAGTTATGAAGTTTGGGTTGGTTTAATATAATAGGAAAATGTGGGGTATTATTGTTATCTAAAGGGATATCTTTATCTAGTTTCTTATTTGTTTGGGAAGATTTTTTGGTGTTGTTTATAGTTGGTATTTGTCTAAACCATGAATTTGGACGATTTTTGTAAAATTTTGAATGATGACCAATATGAGGAAGACACGTGGAGATTTTGGGATTGCAATAATAATCTAGTAGAAATCTGTTTGTGTTTGGATTTTCATAAGTTACAACCAACTAAATCAAGGAGCCGAGTTTCATCAAGGTGATTAAGCAAAGTTGTTGTCTTCTAGTCCTACACTCTCTTCATTCTAATTTATTACAAGTATGGCTCTTTTTTGGAACATAGTTTTAATTCAATAAATGATTGCAAAGTATACTAGAGCAAATATTATACGGTGGTTTTATACAAGAATCAAACCTTTGCTTTTGTAGAATAGTGTAATCCTCCACCATGTTATTAGTGCACCATCTCAACTAAAAGCTTAAGCTAATGGTTGAGGCTCATGAATATATTTTATACTCTATCACTCCCCCTCATATGAAGGGTCCTTTGGGCTTGAAATGTGGATGCAACACAAGCCCGCTTATACCTGGTGCGAATTAATTCCACTTTGAAGGAGGGGTGGATGAGATTCGAACCCGTGACCTTTGTGTCACGCTGACTCTGATACCATGTGGAATAGTGTAATTCTCCTCAGTGGAGGCTTCTCATTCATTCAATATATATAGGGTTTACAACCTAATTTTGAGATAACCTAAATTACACAAGATATATCTTTTACAGAATATTCACAAGATAATATAAACCTATTATCTATCAGATTTCACGATTATATTAAAAGGTTAACTATTGAACTTTGAACTATGTGTTCAAATCCCATTGTAGTTCAATTGTTGGTTGTTCCATGTTAGAGAAAGAGGGGAAAAAGATACTCGATCAATTTTTTTAAGTGCCCATTTTGATTGGTATGCACATTTTCCCACTTTGACCAATATTATCTTTAATTAGCAATAAATATAATTATTTAAAGTTGATATTTGAGAAATATACGTTATGATGATTCAAACAAGTACCTTATGAGTTAATGACTATGTTTGATCTTATATACGAAGTATAAAGTAAAAACATTAGTTAAAGTGAAGTATATAAATAGTATCAAAGTGACTAAAGTGGTAGGGATTACTTGTAGGAGTTAGTTATTCAATGGTTACTTGTAGAGTTGTAGGGGTTACTTACTCAGTCGTTTAGCGCGTTTTGAGTATGAGAATAATCTCTATCTGACCGAGTAACCCTTAGATAAGTAACCCCTGAATAATTTACCTCTAACCAAACGAGTAACCTCTGAATAAGTAATCCCGAGTAACTCCTGAATAAATAACCCTTACAAGTAAACCCTGACCAAACAAGTAATAACCCCCTGCAAGTAACCCCTGCCACACGGTGTGGACAATCGCATATAAAAAATTGTGTTCACAAATAAGGGCCTCATTTATTCACCTTATTTTCACTTATTTCATGTCTAATACGTTCACAAAAGTTAAAAATAAATTCAGTTCAATATAAATAAGTTCTGATAAGGATTATCCAAATTTAAATTACAACAAAATAAGTTCAAATAAGTTTGGTTTTTTCTAAAAAAAAATAGATAAATTTAATTAATTTTAAATTCACTTAAATGAAAATTAAATGAATAGAACACACCCTAAAAGAATGTACTCCATACCATATCATAAATATGTAAACTACAACTTTACCCTTAAAAAAAAAATTTAGGCCCAACATTTTTTATCCCTCAAAAAAATTTAGGCCCATCATTTTTTTCTCTCATCATATCATCAATTCTAATCCATCAAATTATGGCAAACAATTGGGAATAAAGGGAGTATTTACAAAACAATTATTGATTTATTACTCACTTGTTTCCCTCAATTGTAAGAATTCAAGATCAAAAAAGTTTGGCACTTTTAGATCACATTACGAGCTATATTTTGGTATACGAGTTTAATTTACTTCTTCATTCATGATGTTTATCAGTTTTACAAGATCTGGGGATTGCTAATTTTGGACTCAATCGATTAACTACTTGAATTATGGGTAGGTTCATGTCAATTTACTGTAATTTTCAGTTCTAATTTTATATAATTTGATTATTGTTATGCAAAATTTGGTTGGTTTGATTGAAATTGTTTAGGAAGAGTGTTAGGTAATCCTTGTTTTGATCATACAGTAATTTGATGTAATCTCTTTAATTTGATATTAAATTATTGGAAACTATAATATTGATTGGGAGCCTTTACAGCTGAAATGTGATGTTGTGATATTTTTATTACTACATGATTTTTTAATTTCATATAATGATGTTAAAATTATGTTATTCCGATTCGGCCAAGAGTTTTAAACTTGCACCGTGTCAGACGTGACCATTTTATGAAAATTATGCTAATTTTTGTCTAGTATGAAGTGTCCATATGTCATGCCTATTCCCGAGTGTGAAGTGTCTAGTGTCGTGATTTGAAGAGTTTGAGTAACATCGTGTTAGGCATGTCTGTCATAACCTAAGTGTCAAGTATTAACTCTGATTCAGCTAGCTGATAATTATTATATTCCATTACTCTTTTCATTTCTTAAAGATGTTCATACTACATATTTGGAATCTCTAAGTGAAAAATTCGAAGTTCGGCTGATTATTTCCTTGTGAAAAAAAGGTTGAGTATTAATTTATTTAGCATTGCGAGATCAAAGTTTTTTGCATTGAAAGTTAGGTAAATATAGATTAGGGAAATCTTTTAGGAACGGAGGGAGTTCAATGAGATAAATTCACTGGTTGTGTACTAATTGTACTTGGATAACTGAATGCTAAATGATTAGTTCTAGGAAGTTGGCTAGGTAGTAAATAGAGCACCACAATCCTTATTTCTTCTGTTCAAATTTTTTTACTAATTAAATTCCTAACATCATCAAAGTGTTGTAGAGAAGTTTTTGGTGATTTTTTTTTTTTGGTGTGTGTGTGTGTGTGTGTGGAGAAAAGTTGGTTTCTTGGTGAAAATGTAGGAAAATCGAGCTATATGACTTGAACATACTTAGCAGCTCTTGTAAAAAGCATTGTTAATTTTTCAAATAAGAGGCTGATTTTTCTTGTATTAAAGTTCATATTCCATTCTTGCAAATATTGCCATATGCCATAGAATGAGGCTGATTATAATCAACATGTCACATTATTCTGAGTACATAAACATTAACAGGATTGTTGGATTTTAGATACAATTGTGTCCTATGTCTTTTGCATCTGAATATCTGATTATTAAAATATTGATTCTTCTCTGGACAGAATTCCTGAGGATTTTCCCAATATATTGTGTCTCTCGGTATTTCTCATGCATTGATTTCTATTTGTGTTCTTGCAGCGGTGTCATAACCATTTATATTGACATCCTGTGAGGCTCTCGAAGCACCAGCAATGGGAGTGGAGGATGCAGCCTAAGTACCTTCATGATCACTGCTGTTAAGTACTTGATCTCTTCCAGATCATCTTCAGGCTCCATTTTTTTTTTTTTTTTTTTTGGTCTTACAACTCCTGGTACCTCACTTTGCAGTTCCTTCATAACTTGGGGACGTCTCAACAGCTTTGTCATTGCCCACTCTAGTAGTGTATAAGTTTTATCGGACCCAGCTGCAAACATATCCTTCATTGAATACAAAAGTGATTTCACAATTTTGTATGAATATCACAAGTTTTTGCCAGAAATAGCTGAGGTACCTTCTTATTTAAAACTATGTGTTGCACTTAAAGTTTTTGTATGCTTTGTTTGGCTAAATATGTGATATTTTTTCTCTCTTGATAAGTAAAAATACCTGTCTTTTAAAGAGACATGCTATTTTGAACTTTTATTATAGTCATTGAAATTTGACCTTGTCTTCAGATTTTAAGGGTTTATGTGTGGGCTGACAAGTGTGTACTAGGTATCGTTACCATTATAATGGCTTTAATGCTGTCCATGTGAAAAGCAACTGTATTTCCTTCTGAACATTTAACAAAATACCTACAAAGTCCTTTTCATTCTCTTCGTTTTCAGTCTTACGATCCATACACTTAGATAACATATTCAAGGTACTTATCAAAGTCTATGCCTATTATATCCATTCAACTGTCCATACCACTGAGTCGACCAATCCAGCCAAGCCAGGGTATGAAAATTCCCATACTGAACACTGCCATGACCTCAACAAACTCTTTCAAAAGCTGCCACTTCTCTGTTATGCTTCTTTCCAAAGGCTGCCTTACAGAACACATTGCTTGAGAGCATCTTCAAATTCTCACTTAAGTAATAGGGAAATGCTCTGATCATTTCAGCCCACTAGACTGACTTTGTCATTTCTAACCTTCTTAATAGATTGAACATTTTTGTTACTCAAGGGCTGTTGGACAGATATGCTCTTTACCTGCCTCCAATATTCCCCATAAGGTGAAAAGACTCTGTCTCTTTCATCATAGATGATCTTGCTCTTGTAGTGTGTAATTGAGGTCTATTGGAGAAGATGATATCATGACTCATACGTCCTCATGATCTTGTGTGCTATGACAAGACAAAAAAAAGGAGGTAGTGCTTCTGATGTGAATCAACATCACTTCTTCATGTTGCTTGGACAAAGAGTGTAGAGAGTAGTGTGGGAATTTGCCAAGTTGGTGAAGGTTACTAAAGACGGGATAATTTGTTGGGGAGGGTAGCAGTTTTCTGCTTCAGCCAGAATTTTTATTAAGAAATCTATAGGTGATGGTTAAGAAGAGAAAGAACCGGAGGGAGAGGGGATGGAAACTAAGGTTATTTAAGAATTGAATAACAGTAGACATTTCTTTGAGTGTTCTGTTTCACCTTGTGTGATAGCTGTAAGCCCGTTATTATTATATAGAACTAATAGAAGGAATCAAAGGAAGAAAAGGTTCAGGAACCCGATGGAATTTGTTAGTCACATTCTAGTGTTTATTCCATTGTATGTATTGAAGTGTCCATACCAGTGTATGTTTCCAGATTGGAACCACTTTTATTTGGATATGTATCCTGATATCATCTATTTTATGAAATGTTCTGCATTTTAATCCAAGATGAAGAGGCAACTCTTTCAATTGTCTAAACTAGTGTCCTTATGTGTCAAGGATCCTACCTAGGTATGTTAGGTAAAATGCAGAAATTGAGTACTATAGGGGAGCACTAGATGTTGTTCACTTGTTTCAGCGTTTGTCAGGATATTAGAAATCGATCTGGCTTGAGATATAACTTTTACAGGAAGGAGTAGAGGGAGGAATGAGTGGTGGCATAATAGTTGTTCAGGTAAGGATTTTAAGAACAGGGAAAGGGAAAACAAACAACTGCGTATTACTACTAGTTAGTGATGTGATTCGAGTTGTAAATTTCTGTGGTTCATTTCCTGAGAGTTCTCTACCTCAAAACACATTATCTTATCTTATAGACCATATTACATGGTTGTTGATTATAAACGTGTGGGTCATCTTACTCTAAGCTACTTATCTATTTAATAATGTCATGTTTCATGAAATTGACATTTAATTAATTATTGTCAATTTGTCTAATTGCTACCAGAAATGCGTTATGTTCTGGTATGTAGGACATGTACTACAGGAACTTAAATAGTTTCATGAAGTTTGTGGTATGTTCTGTTATGTTCTAAGTGCTACCAGAAATGTATTGTGTTTCATGAAGTTTTAGAATAGCCCAAATTTGTATCATGTATCATATTGTACCAATTTGTACATTATATCAGATTGTTGTTCACAAAGGGGACTAATGAACTTGACAATTTTGGTTTGTACAATGGACTACAATCTGAGTAAAAAACTCCACATGATAAATAATGATCTCAAACTTAGTTTGACTTCTTGCTTGGGAACCTGTCATCATCAAGAATGGAAATATGTTTACCTGCACTTTATCGGGTGGGTTAAGCTTGATTGGTTGATATGTAAAAACTGAGATGCTTATTGGTTTGCAACATTGGCTATTGTACCAATTGTTGTTTCCAGGGAATTGAATTCAATAGAGAATCTAAATACAGGCACAGTTGGAGTGGGGAAGCTTATGGAAAGGCACCTCCTTTTCTTCCAAAGTCACTATCTCTAAAAGGTAGCTTGAGATCAGGAGGAATCAGCTAAGGAATTGACTGGGTGAAGTCATTTATTTTTATTTTTTAAAATACGACACCAACATAATTATTACCCTAATGCCTTTGAAGAGGCTTCATCATAGCTTAATTAGGGACATCAGAAACTTTATACTAAAAACATAATCATGAACAGGATTAAAATAAATACGAGTAGGACATAAATAAACTCGGACATGGAATTGTTATTGTTGGATAATTGATACTGTTGGTCTACTGCCTTGAGCATCTGTGATTCAAATATCAATTCTTTTGTTAATATGTGCAGCATGTTCTCAGCTGCAAGAATATAAAGTTGCAATGGCCATAAGAGGATCCCGTCTATTGATTGTTATGCCTGGATTTTCAGGTACTTCAGGAGCCTCATCTTCTGCTCCATTGGCTGATTTCCAATCAAATGAGTAGAGAAGATTTGCTAGCATGAGCTCAATTTTGAATGAAGCAAAGGGTATCCCTGGGCAACCTCTTCTGCCAGCTCCAAAGGGAATCAACTGGAAATCCTGTCCCTTGAAGTCTACTGTAGAGTTCAGGAACCTCTCTGGACGGAACTGCTCAGGCTCTGCCCAATAATTTGGGTCTCTCTGTATTGCCCATGCATTGATGATTACTTGTGTCCCCGCAGCAATGTCATACCCATTTATTTTGGCATCCTGGGAGGGATACCGAAACAGCAGCAATGGGAGTGGAGGATGTAGGCGAAATACTTCCTTGATCACTGCTTTCAAGTACTTCATATTTTCTAAATCATCTTCAGATACCATTGTTTTTTCTCTAACAACTCCCCTTACCTCATCTTGCAGTTTTTTCATGACTTGGGGATGTCTCAGCAGCTCTGTCATTGCCCACTCCAGTAGTGTGTATGAGGTGTCGGACCCAGCAGCAAACATATCCTTCATCAAATGCAAAACCAGTTTTGACTTTGTAAGTTTTAACTAGCTTAAGCTGAAATAGTTGTGGTACTTTATTTTGATTATCTGCTTTGCAAATTTATGTGGAAATTTTTATTGGTGATCACTATTGGACTTTTAATATTGACTTCTGTTGTACAATAATTAATTAAAGTGGGAATTAAGGAAGTAGTAGGAATTCTTACCAGTACAATGGCTTTGATGTTGTCCATGGAAAGAGCAGCTGTGTTTTCCTTCTGAACATCCAGCAAAATGTCCACAAAATCTTGTTCACTTTCATCCTTTTCAACCTTGCGATCTAGATGCTCTTGGACTACATGTTGAAGAAATTTATCAAACTCTTTCGCGACTTTGTCCACCCGATTATTCAAACCAGTGAGTTGATCAATCCAGCCAAGCCAGGGTATGAAATCTCCCATACTGAAAACTGCCATGACCTCTACAAACTCCTTTAAAAGAAGCTTAAAATTGGTTCCCACTTCTCCAGCATACTTCTTTCCATAGGCTGTCCTACACAACACACTACTTGTGTATGCTATAAAAATCTCACTTAAGTTTACTGGTGATTGTTCTGATCTCTTGATCGTTTCAATCACCAGAGTGACTTCTTCTTCTCTTACTCTTCGGAAGGATATAACCTTTTTGTTACTGAGCATCTGTAGGACACAGATGCTCCTTATCCGTCTCCAATATTCCCCATAAGGTGAAAAGACTATGTCTTTGCCATCATAGATTATCTTGCTAGTGATGCGTGATTTAGGTCTATTAGAGAAGATGGCATCATGGGTCTTCAAGATCTCGCAAGCTGCGCTTGCAGATGAGACAACAAAGGAAGGTGTGCTACCTAGGTGAATCAACATCACTTCTCCATATTTCTTGGACAAAGAGTACAATGAACGATGTGGGAATTTGCCAAGTTGGTGAAGGTTGCCTAAGATGGGCAACTTTCTCGGGGAGGGTGGCTGATTTCTGCTTTGCATAGGATTATTATTTAGCCATTTGTAAAGGAAGATCAAGAAGAGTATGAACGTTAGGGAGAGGGGATGGAAACAAATATTCTCTAAGAACTGAAGAATATTAGACATTTCTTCTAGTGTTCTGTTTCACTTGGAGCAATATGAAGCTTTAACTTGTAGCTTCAATTTATAGTAGGAATGCAAAGCAGAAGTTTAGGAGCTTGAAGGTGTACGTGACAATCGTGTTAGTAAGGATATCTTTAAGATTTTAAAAATCATAATGGAGCAATCAGTTTCTAGAAACGAATATGTCAACAACTTTTATAGTTTTATTTATATATTGTTTGAAGAACTCTAAGTTACTATTTTGGTTGTAGTTTCATTATTTATTTGTATTTTTATCTTGCCAAAATCATATCCCTTCCCATCTTAAAAAAAGTTAATCAACTCATCCAACCAAAACATCTAGATATCAAATTAAATAAAAAGTAATATATAAATTGTGTAGAAATCCAAATGATGCATTTAAAAAATACAGAGTTAGTATGAAAATAAATGGACCCATATGTAAATATAAAAATCAGTGGGACCATTCCTTTTGGCGACGAAAAAAAAATTATCTCCTGGCCGACGACAAAATTCTTCTTTCTCACCCAAAGCCTCCGAGATATATGTGGTCCATTGTCACCTCATTGGTAGCAAACTAATATCCAACAACCAAAAAGTTAGATTGCATTAGATATTAGGTTTGTAGAAAGTGTTGATGAGGGGATGGTGATTTAAGTGTTGGTGGCTTAGGTGTTAGAAGGTGATGGTACTCCTTGTTAGTGGTGGTGGTGGCTTAAGTGGTGGTGGTGGCTTAAGTGGTAGTGATTGCAAGTAAGAGTGGGTAGAAATGAGAGTAGAATAAGCTATTCAAGTTAATTTTAATTGATCAAAGGATATTTTGTTCATTACGTATAGCGTTATGGCAAACTAACTTTGGAATGGAGAGATTACATTTTCTATACACGGTTGTAATTATGCAAATCTAATAACATCAAAGTAAGGACAAGGACAAAAAAGTCTAACGTGATTGAATTTCTTTGATGTGGTCCAAGGAGTGTATGATCTTCTAAATGTGAAGGGTTTGGATAGATTATACATTTGGGTAATAGTTAGTTTTTTTTTGGATTAGGCAAGCAAGGCTTGCTTGCTGTTAGGATTGTATTTGACTTTTTTTTATTCATCTTACATAAATCTCAACCAAACACATATTCTTTTATATATATATATATATATATATATATATATATATATATATGAAGACGGCAAATCCTTTACCTGTTCTTTTTGGGAATTTAAATTATCATATATATCTTGATTTTAGTATGGACAGAATTAATTGAAATTATTTAGCTAAGAAACTCTATAATGGCTTATATGATGAATATATATAATCATATATTTTTGGCTCTATGTAGAATCATGTCGGTTCAACTTATCCTTGAAAAGTACATATAATGATGAATAATAGGATTAATTTAATTTGATATATCTGAAAAGAACATCAATTGATGAATAATATGTGGTTCTATATTTCTGTTTTATAATCCCTTGATCCCTTTAGATTTGCCTCATAGTAGAATTGTTATTTTATTAAGTTTTAGTTGGTTGAAGTTAATGAAAAAGAAAATTGGTGAGGCAAAGTCAATGAGACATCTTAAAAGGAATATGGGAGCAATATATGTGGTGAAGGAGTGCTAGTATAAAATTGCTGAATATTTGAAGTTTGTAGTTGAGCTTATATGTTGGGTTCAAGTGCGTAGAACATATCTTTCCGTGTGCCGTACGATACTTGTTGAGTTCTTGATGACTTCTTGCAGTTAGTTATTTGTTTTATATTTATGGTTAATGATGCTAAAAGGGGTAATGACAATGATTCATAAGAGGCTTAGTAGAAGCCAACTTGACGAGAGTCAGAAAGTAAAAGGAAAGAGAGAAGCAATTTTTTGCTGTGAGACAAGCTAGGACATGAGTAGAGGCTAGCAGTCCAAGGTGACTTTATTTCCGGACGAAGGAGTAGTTTTTAATGATGATTAACATCTGTAATTAGTTTAAAATTATTATATTAGTTAGGAACCTAGGATATGCCATTTCTTGCACTTCACACCTAGCTGCAACTTGCCTGGGCTGTATATGGAAAAAAAAAATTGTTTAAATGATAGTGATGGGCTGAGAAGACAAGATCAAGACTGATAATTTGTTTTATATGAGTATAAGCATAATTGCATTAACTTAACACACGTAAATAAAATTTTCGTCTTTTTTCTAGTTTAGCTGAAAGAAGGAATTGTAACAAACTGCAAAGATTAGCATATAGAAGATGTCTAAGGCGCACTTTATAAAACTAAGCTTATAGATATTTTAGTTCATGCATCCATTTTTTTTTTCCTTCACATATTTAGCGTATAAAAAGTATTTTCTTTTTCATCTAACTTATCTATATTTTACCATAGACTAGATATACTCTATGCCATGTTCTGGACCTTCTGGTGCTTCTAGATTTGTTTCTTTTGCTAGCATATGAATCACAGGTGTCTTTTCCAAGGTATGACTATTGAAGGAGTTCTTTTTAGGTGTGTTTAGTAGTTTATTCAATTAGCAAGCGTAGGTTTTGACAAATGATGTGTAATATGGATTAAATTTTTGGTTTGATATTTTTTTTATAAGTAACAAGAAATGGAAGCAATATAAATTCACAAAAATGTCCCACTATCTATGTTATTATTGTCATCGTTTTCTGTAGTTGGTGGACTATGTCTATACAAGAAATTTAATTGCATCACATTTGAGCTAGTTTGTCTTGTAACTTTTACTCTCTTCATTCATATGGCATCGGAATTTTTTACCCTTTTTATCTGCATTGAACCAGTTATGTGATCACTAAATTCAGAATAAGATAGTACATTTTTTGGATGCCAATATGCCATTACCCCTGAATTATGTCTGGATAACCTTAACATATTTTCTTGTCTACTACACGCCCTTATAATCGTATTCCTATAGTCTGACTGATATTTTCTTGTAAAGGCTAAAGAAGTAAGTGTTTATGTTTTGATCATGGCCAGTGAGCCACAACGGTCTTCAGACTAGATATCGAAAATATATTTATGCTTAACTGGTTTTGAGGTCTAAAACCTCTTTACTGTTGATCACTACTTGAACTGGAAACTGTGAGTAAAACTTCTAAAATATGATTCAGTTGTTGTATGTTTCTACAATTTCTATGAACTCATAGGCCACTTGTTATATATGCAGGCACAAATTAGCCTTCTCCTTATAGATTACTCCCTCCGTTCCTTTTTGTTTGCTCCATTTGCCATAAATAGATGTCCATTATTTTTTGCCCCATTCCATTTTGGGGCATGGTTATTACTCACTAATATTGACTAGGGACCACCCACTATCTTTCTTTTACCATTTTTTAATAATATAAATTTGTGGGATGGAGCGAAAAAGGGGACGGAGGGAGTAATACTTAGCTTGCATTGGCGTTGGTGTTACAGTTTTGATTTTCACATGTATTCTTTCTTATCACAGTGTATCCTCTGTTGTAAAGTTCTAAATTTATGTTCCTGTAAGAGTTGAATTGGTTGTACTGAGAGTGGTAATTTTTGATTAATTTGGTTGCATGAGTAGTATTTTCTAGATACTCCATATTTTTCTACTCTATTTTCTTATACGAAGTATACGTAAGTTTCATGATAACATTTTGATTTTCTTGGGTAAAGATTGTGCCTTTTCTTTCTAAGTCCCATTAAGTTACCCAGTATCAAAGATTGTACTCTCTTCGTCTCAAAATATGTGACATAGTTAACATTGTACACACGCCACTGTACTAGTTTGATTTTATTTTTACATAATTAAATACTAGAATATAAATTATTTTATAAATTATATTATATGTATCTAACAACATATTTTATGATAAAATATGTTTTTATTATGTTAGTAAAAAATCGTGTTCAAACGTAATACGAGTACATAAATAGTGAAAAAAGTCCAATATCACACATATTCTGGGATGGAAAGAGTAGTAACATACTCTAAGGGGGTGTTTGTTTAGGGGGATAAAAAGGTAAGGATAAGGATAAGGATAAAGGATGAGAATAAAAGAAAAGTAGTGTTTGTTTAGAGGGATAGGGATTAAAAGGGGGTTGAGGATAGGGATTAAAACACCCCTTTATCCCTCCATTTCTACAACTAAGGGGGGTGGTATAAGGGTAAAGGATAAGAAATAGGCTAAAAATACCAAAACCCTAATGAAATTGAAAGAATAAGGGAAAAGGGTAGGAGTTAGTAAGGGTATTTTTATAATTTTACTACTTATCCCTAATTTATTTCCCATAGTTACCCATAAACATGAGATAAGCATTATTTATCCTTGTCCCACCTATCGATTCCCTATTTTTATTCTCCCTCCTTATCCCTCTTATTCCCATCCTCCAACTAAACGCCCCGTAAACATTTCTACCTTTTTTCTCTATCAATAAGGTTCCGTTCTCTTCACCTTATATTTGTTGAACTAAAATTATTTTAACCGAAACAAAATTATTTTTACTAAACTTAAATTATTTTTACTGAACTGAAATTCTTTTTGTTGAACTAAAATTATTTTTACTAATTTTCTGTTATAATTTTTTTTTTAAGAAAATTGAGTTTTACTGAAGTGAACTTATTTTTATTGAACTGAAATTATTTTTAACTTATTTTACTGAACTGAACTAATTTTTACTGAACTCAAATTATTTTTATTTAATATTATTTTTTTAAGGTAAAGAGAACCGGAGCAAACAATTGGTGATTTTCTCATTATTATTCACTTCCCCCAATTCTAAGAATTTAAGATCAAAAAAGTTTGGCACTTTGAGATTAAGTAATGAGCGATATTTTCATATACGAGTTTAATTTTCTGCTCCATTCAATCATCCATTCATGATGTTTATCAGATTTTCAAGTTCTGGGCATTGCTAATTGAAAGTCTAACTGGCTAATACAAGAGGGGGGGTGAATTGTATTTGAGGTGAATTCTAAAAACTTTTGCGGAATTTATCTAAATAAAATAACGATGAGAGAAGATATAGGCTTTTCCAAATTTCCACTATGTAATCAAACTCTTTACAAGTGAAGATTCTAACCCGTTAATAAGTTCCACAAATTAGGAACTTGTTCCCAACTCTCACAGAAGACTTCAGCAACGAAGCTTCCTTAACCTCACTTTACAAACTCACAATCCCAACCCCAAAGTACTTGAATACAATCTGTGATTACAAATACCTATTGCACTCGAGAATATAAGAAGGATAATAACTCTCTTTATGTTATTAGATGGCTACTGGAATTTTTATGCTCAAGAGTTGTATTTTGCAATGAATATGGTCGTGGTTTAAATAGGGAGATTTAATCCTTAACCTCCACACCCCTCAACCACTTGCCAGTGAACACCCACTAACTAATAGTGGAGAATGTGACTATGATCAAGGTAGTGGAGATTTCTTAAATCTCTCCTTTAATCCACGTAGCAATCAACATGCTAAAATATAGTTTCTGGAAAAACAACTTTGTTGAGATATTCATGCAACAATATTTGACTTAATCAAATATTCCGTTATTAAAGGATTTAAAAAGATTTTATTTTGAAAAGATAATTTATAAATTATTTAATTATTTAAAAACAACTAAGATAATTAATTTAGGTTAATTATCTTTATTTAAAAATAGTAAATTAGATAAAACATTTATAAATTATCTTTTGCTCAAAAAAAGATTATCTTTTTAAAACTAATTTTTATATTCCAGTAGTCTTAAACATAAATCATTGAGTTCCTTTCCAACTTGTATTATTGAGTGCTCACAATTAAAAACTAGAACGTGAGATTTGCATGAGGCTTTTTAGAGAATGCTACTCCGCATCCAGGTTCCTACTCCGGAACGAACTTTGCTTGAACCCTTTATTCACCAAAGACTTAAAACGCTCATTAGTCAAGTTTGTCAATTTGTCCATCAAAACTAAAAGGGTCAACAAATTCCCCCTTTTTGAGGCATGCAACATAAACTTAAAACAAAACATGAAAACTAAAAAAAAAACAAACAGAGTAATTAAAGAACTTAGAAAAGTACTTTAAAATAAAAAGACTGAGCAAAAGAAAAATTAACAAGGACTTTACTAACTTAAAAAAAAAAAACTTAGACTACTAGGACTTTATTTTCCTTAAAATTATACCTTCGATGTGTGAGTTCCTTGGTACACGCCTTAGCCGCCATGAAGTTTGTCTTTTCCCCCTTTTGGCATTATCAAAAGATTGAAAAAAAAAAACAGTTTGCTATACTCCCACTAGACTACGTAGGGAATAGTGAGCTCAAATAATGCAAGGCAAATATAAGTTAGGCATTGAATTATCAACAAACACACACAATCATATGAAAAATAAGAGCCGAGTTCCGATTTAGGAAATAGAAGAGGAACATAGAGAATGTAGCAAAGGATAAAGGCGTACAAACCAAAGTTCAGAGAGATTAAACAAAACCAAAATAAAATTGTTCAACACTAATTTTGGACTGGATCGATTAACTACTTGAATTGGTATGTTCATGTAAATTTACTGTGCTTTTCAGTTCTAATTTTAAATCATTTGATTATTGTAATTTCAAATTCGGTAGGTTTGATGGAAATTGTTTCGGAAGAGTGTTAGGTTATTCTTGTTTTGATCATACAGTAACTTGATGTAATCTCTTTAATTTGATATTAAATTCATGGAAATTATAAATTAATGGTTGATTGGGAGGTTTTACAGCTGAATGTGATTTTGGGAAATTTCTGTCACATGATACTGTTTTGAAAATTATGTACTTGTATTTTATAATGATGTCTAGGCTATGTTATTTTGATTTGGCTAGGCGTGTTAAACTTAGGACCGTGTTCAAGTGTCAGACATGACCGCTTAATGATAATATAATGTTGTTGAATTTTTGTCTAGTATGAGTGTGTAGTAATCAGTGTTGGTGATTTGAAGAGTTGGAGTAACATCATGTTAGGCATGTTAGTCATGACCTGAGTGTCAAGTAACCAACCATGATCCGGCTAGCAGTGTGATAATGATTATATTCTATTACTCTTTTTCGTTTCTTAAAGATGTTCATATTTGAATTGTCTCAGTTAAAGAATCATTATTTAGCTTAGTATTCCCTAAAAAAAGGGGGGGGGGGGAAGGCAGTGTTAATTATTATTATTATTATTATTATTATTATTATTATTATTATTATTATTATTATTATTATTATTAGTATTATTATTATTATTATTATTATTATTTTAATTTTTAGCATTGCATGATCAAAGTTTTTGCATTTAAAGTTAGGTAAAAATAGATAGGGTGATAGGGACATCTTTAGGAGCAGAGGGAGTGTTGTGAGATAAACTCACTGGTTGTGTACTAATTGTACTTGGATGACTAGTACTGGGAGTCTGGGAAGCTGGCTAGGTAGTAAATAGAGCACCATAATTTTTCATTTCTTCTATTCTTTTTTTTTTTTTTTTTTTTTTAAATGATATCAACAGAAGAATTTTAGTGAAGTTATGGTGACTTTTTTTATTATTTTTTTTGGCGGAGAATAGTGGGTTCTTGGTGAAAATGTAGGAGAATCAAGCGAAATGACATTAAACATACTTAGCAGCTCTTTTCAAAAGCATTTTTTATTTTTCCAGTAAGAGGCTGATTTTCCTTGTACTAAAATTCACATTCCGTATTTCCATTCTTGCATGGTGTAACGAATCAAAGCAAGCCACATGTGCTTTATACAAACAATACCCAGGTCAGGAAAGGTGTCACGGTCCGAGTGATTCAACACCAGATCGTGCGGCGCGCTCTCGTCTTTTGGCGACAAGGGCGCAAGCCTAAAGCAAGGAGGTTCGTGAGCACACAGCAACACGGACCTACGGTGTCTCAAGAGGGCGCACGAGAACAACGAGTGCGGAGTCGGGGCTTGTGACGGCCGATACTTCGAAGCGGGCACAAGCGGAACCGACGAAAATGAGGACGTCTCTAGGGTCTCTTGGTTTGGTGGGGGATGCTTTAAAACAAGGCAAGCACAATATCTATAAAGGCTTAAACAACACACAAGTCTTAAAGCAATAACAACGGGGTAGAGAGCTTTGATTGAATAACCATTCGCTCCCTAAAGAGCTTTATATTGCATTAGTAGAGAATTACAAGTGAACGTTGAAATGACAGTAACACAATAATTCTCCCTAGGGTCTAGAAAAATAAAAAGAAAGACTAAAGAGACATTACATAAGGAAAATATAAGGAAAATAAAGAAGAATACATAACAAAGAGGTTGGATTCTAACAAAAGGACACTTCTGAGCACTATCTCAACTAAGGTGCTGAGGCACAACCACACCAAGCAACAGCAACTTAAAGCTGCAGCCCTTAGTTGGCAATTGGGGTAATGACAAAGAGGTGAAAGGATTAAGGGCTCAAACTAATTGCAATCAACCCACAACAATGAAGAACATGCAAGCACAACAACTAAGAACAACCATGAAGAAATTAACGCAAATAAAAAGGAGACAAAGTTACTGTGGGAAAACCCGAGAACCGGGAGAAAAAACCCACCTTGCACTATGGAGTAGTATTGATGATGAATGAAATCAAGATTACAAGCATGAATTGTATTGAATTCCAATGCTCCTCACAAAACCTCTCATAAACCCTCTCTCAAGTGTTTAATGTTTGTGAATACTTGATAAAGAAGCTAAGAAAAGATATATATAGTCTAGGAGTATAAAGACAATCCAAGGGCTAGCAATTAAACAAGAAGCACGGGCTCAAATCGAGCCGTCGAACCAGAGCACCAGGGGGTTCGGCCGAACCTACCCAGTGTTCGGCCGAACCTACCCAGTGTTCGGCCGAACTTGAGGTGGTTCGGTTGAACCCCCCTTGGTTCGGTCACTCCTCCTCTTTTGCAAAAAACGCAAAGGTCCCTTGAGGTTCGATCGAACCTCGGTAATGCCATAGAGAGGGTTCGGTCGAACCTCCTCTATCAAGCTTCCCTTTGATTCCTCCTTATGTCTCCTTATATTGATGCATCTCCACACTAATCCTAACAAGGGGTAGTAAAGTTAGTAATTGAAGCTGTACTATTTGGCTAAGTAGAAATAGGTAGAGAGGAGTAGAAGGAAGGTAGGCAGAAAGTTGGTGAGAACCTTTTGGAGAGTTATGGCCTAAAGCCATTATTGGAGAGTTGTGAGCTTAACTCACTATCGAAGATTGATAGCCTTAAGCTATTAAATTATCGCTTTTAACCATTCCACCATTATCAATCAATTTAAAGCTTTCACCTTTATTAATTTGCTAGTTAAAATCAGAAATTTGTTCTGTTATATTGATTTCTACTGGGTGACCGAACTCAGCTCATTACACATGGTCACTCATTATTGCTATATGCCATAGAATGAGGCTGATTATAATCAACATGTCACATTATACTGAGTACATAAACATTAACAACATTGTTGGATGTTAGATATACAACTGACGTACTAACTGAGTCTTGTGTCTTTTGCATCTGGTGATTCAAATGTTGATTCTTGATTGACAAAGTTGATTGCCTGGGATGTTATTTAGCTGCAAGAATACGGAGTTGCAATGGCTATAAGAGGATACCGTCTGTTGATTTTCACACTCGGGCTTTCAGGCACATGAAACACTTCATTTTCTACTCCATTGGCTGATTTCCAATCAAAAGAGTAAACAACATTTGCTAATGCTATTTCAGCAAGTGGCTAGAGCAAAGGGTGCCCCTGGACAACCTCTTCTCCTGCTTTAAACGGAATCAACTGGAAATTCTTCTCTCTGGATTTAATTCCACAGGATTTCCCAATATATCGGGTCTCTCTGTATTGCCCATGCATTGATTATTACTTGTGTCCTTGCAGCAATGTCATAACCATTTATTATTTTATTTTATCTTATACTCTCTTTCTCTGGCATTGAACCAGTTATGTGACTGCTAAATTCAGAATAGATGATACATTTTTTTATGCCATTACACCTTTTGTTTGTGTGGATAACCCTATCATATTTTTCTCGTCTTGTTTTTTACATGGGAAGAAAACTCTGTTTTGCTCCGACTCATATCAAACACGGATATGTATTATATTTTGGAGAAGTGGAATGAAGGGATGCATTGTAGTTAATCTCAGGGTTATAGAACAGGAGACTGGATATGGAATCACTCTTCTACTTTAAGTGCATCATAAGATTTCATAGCCTTACAAACAAATATTAATTAGAGTTAGAACATCTTTAACCGTGTTAATATGCAGAACAATTCGCATTATCTGAGGAGATGAAAGGATATGAACAAAATGGGCTAATGTGACTGTTTTGCCTTGACATGGTCCAAGGAGTGTATGATCTTCAAAGGTGAGCAGTTCCTAATATAAGCTATTCTTTTTCGTCTCAGCTGAATTAGCTTCTAAACTTGGATCATGGTTGCTTGCTGTTAGGATTGTGTTTGACTTTTTTATCTACAAAGTTAAAATTTCAACCAAACTTGAGTTATCCTTTTTTTCAATAAGATTGTGGGAAATTCTTATTTAATTCCTTTTTCAAGCTTTTATCTGATCAGTAAATTGACATTAGTGTGAAATGGCATTTGTTTTTAACACCATTTACTCATTTAGATCTAAAACTCCATAGTAGCTTATGTGATGAATATATTATCAAGATTTTCTTATCTTTGTAGGATCAAATTTGACTTAATATACTTGAAGATAACATTAATTAATGAATATATTATCAAGATTTTCTTATCTTTGTAGGACCATTTAGAAGTCATGCATTTCCGTGTGCCGTCCCATATATGTTCAATTCTTGACGACTTTCTGCAATTTATTATCTGTTTTATATTTATGTTCACTCAAGTGAGAAAATTGATACAAGTCTTTGCTAATTTTCTTGAAAATGGCATCAAACAAGCTATGTTGATTGAAGCCATCCAGTAGAGCTAAATTATTAAAAGCTGTCAAACTACACATAACTTATTAGAGCAGATGGTTTATTATTAAAGTGATTAGCAAAGAACAAATTGGTTGAATAAGAAATAAGAGAGTTAAAGAGACAAGAGTTTGGAAGGTGGGAAAGTCATTCAATCAAACCACTTGAAGACTATAAAACCTACCTAAAATAAGAACATTTGTATTGATTTCAATAAGGGTGGTTATCAATGTTCAATAAGACAGCAAGAAGTTAGTTTCCATGTCCTTCATCTTGATAGAAATATTATTGGTTACAAAGTAGCTTAGAGGCTATGGTCTGAATTAGGAAACGGAAGGAGGGGGTGGCTTGAATTTGTTGGACTACTTCTAATTGTGAGTGTCTTTCAATTAAATATTGCTTACTCTCTTACACCTTGTAGGTGTGGCTGTGTTTTTACGTTGTCATTGATCATTGTAGCCCTGTGCAAAATGTGTTTGTCCCAGCATCAAACATGCCCTGCTTGAGGTTTATTTAAATGTCTATGAGATCAATGCAAGTGCATGTATTTTGGCTTAATTCTGAGAGTATTTGATTAATAAGTTTATCTGGTGTTATTTTTTCTTGAAAACATCGGTTCTTTGTCCTGTCTCTTATCACCGGTGGCTGTTTTTTGGACATACAGGACCTTTACACACACAAGGAATTTATATGGCAGTGGACAATAAATTATGTTGAAAGACCAAATTCTCAGAAGGTATATGTTTTCAGTAAATCTCTATACTCAATATCAAATAGTTTGTATATATACTACGTGATAACAGATTTTGACCAAAGAAGTTTAAACACTCACCATAGAATAGATGGTGTTATTGCCATATCTCTGCAGTCATAATACCGGATCTTTATGATTACCTAAGTTGTGTTTTGTTGACGAATTTACAATAGTACTCCGTTAGTTTTTCTGCCTAGGTAAAGCAGTGTATAAGGTCACCATAGGTTAGCTTGATTATTCGAGGACAGGGAGAGTGGAGCCTGTGGGTGAAATCAACTGTGTGGCTCAATGCCTGACCCAAGAGAGGCTCTTTTTATTATCAAAGTCCCTACTCGCTTAACCTAACTAAACAAAAGAAAGGTTGTGGATCTTTAGGGAAAATTTCTGTGTGGCGGTTGTTGTGATAGTGTGTCTATTCTTTAGAATTATTATGGAGAGTAGGACATCACTCTTTGCCCTTTTAATTTATTTCTTACAAATTCAGATAGTATCAAATTATGACAATGATTTGTCATGACAGTTTGAGAGCTGGAAATTTTTGGCACGGAACAGCTTCTTGTAATAATTTCGGGTGGTTTTTGTCATCCTCTCCACAAAATGATAAAATAAATTTTTTTTTTTTAAAAAAAATCCACTGATGTAAAATCATGTAAGTTGCTTTTCATGTGTTTACTTTATAAGGAGAGAAATAGAATGTAAAAAGAAAAGTGGTCCCAAAAATTTTCCAACTTGGGTAAAAAAATTCAAATTCGTATTATTGCCAAAAAAAAAAAAAAAAAAAAAAAAAGGACTTTACGAGACGAAGGAAGTATGAAGTATTGATGTTTTGCAGTTATATGCTTACATCAATATAATGGAGAACTGCTATTATTTTGCTTTTTATCTTAACCTGTTAGTCTGTTACAATATAGAGACTCACAGATCAACTAGGCTAGTTAACTCCCTTTCTCAATTTGGGAGCATTTATAATTCATTACTAAAGATGTGGAGAAGCAACAGCTAGAAGAGGAGTTTTTCTATGTATAGTGAGGCCAGTGCTCTCAGACATATCCATTGTTTCGCCTTTGACTCCAACAGGCAACTTCCAATCAAACTTGTGCACAAGGTTTGCAAACACTAGCTTGATATTAGCTATCGTAAATGATATTCCTGGGCAAATCCTTCTTCCTCCTCCAAATGGAATTAGCTCAAAATCCTGCCCTTTGAAATCTATTGAAGAATGCAAGAATCTCTCTGGACGAAACTCCTCAGGTTCTTGCCAAGTAATCGGATCTCTCTGGATTGCCCAAACATTAAAAAAAACAAGAGTCCTAGCAGCAATGTAATAACCCATTATCCGTACATCTTGGGTTGATTCACGAGGCACCAATAATGGAATTGGTGGATGCAGCCGTAGAGTCTCCTTGATCACTGCTTCTAAGTACTTCATTTTCTCCAAATCATCCTCAGTTATATGATCTTTGTTGCCAATTCCTCTTACTTCTTTTTGCAGTTCTTCCATTACTCTAGGATTTCTCAAGAGCTCTGTTGTAATGCTAGACTTAGGCCTGTTGGAAAATACAGCATCATGAAGAGTATATGAGCATAAGCTCACCATAGTCTCAGTTATAGTCTCAGTTATAATGCTAGACTTAGGCCTGTTGGAAAATTCACTATAAGTGTAGGTTTTTTGCCCAAGTAGATGAGCATAAGCTCACCATACCGGTCAGACAAAGCCTGGAGAGAGCGGTGAGGGTGCACGCCTAGTTGGTGAAGATGTCCTAGAATTGGCAATTTTGGTGGAGATGGTGGTAAGTTTTGGAAATTTGAAGAGTTGGTGGAGAGCCATTTGTAGAGGAAGATTATGAAGAAGAGTGAGGGGAGAAGGAATAAGAGGGGATGAATGTGAATTGAATTAAGGAATTTTTCAAACATTTGAAGAACACTAGACATTCTTGAGCTCTATAAGTTTACTCAATGCTTTGTGTGTTGATTGCTATCTCGATGATTTATACTGCCATTAAGGTGACCTTGCATGGCTTTCCCCACATCATTAAATTTTGGCATATTAGGGCAACAACAATAAGAGGTTTGTCTTCATACACTTTTGAGTTTGTAGCTAGACAAACCCATTGTTGTATGGAAAAATTACAAAAGAATAGGTCGCTACTCCCCCCCTCCGTTACTTTTTACTATTTACGCCTTAATTTTTATGATCAACCTTTATAAATTTTGACCATAAAATCATAAATACTCATTATTATAAACATTAAAACCGTATCATGTAAAATCTTGTTAAATTCAACTAAATATATACTCTTAAAATATTAAATTTGTAGAATTGTTACTCGTATATTATTGAATAGCTAGATTATGGTGGTCAAAGACGTGCATTGAAGATTGTAAAATTCAATGCTTAAAGAGTAAAGTAACGGAGTATGCTGCTTAAGATATTGAAGTCCAATGTTGTTCCTAGGAACTAGGGTGGAGATTCTAAAATTCCAACATTGCTCTTTAAAAAGAACGAAATAAGTACAAGTTATTTCATTGGCTTAAAGTCCTTGTCTAAATTATTTTTTATGATCTGCCCTTTTGTACGAAGTAATATATTGGCAACCTTAATGCGTGGACAACACGTCTGCACATTTTTGTCAATGGTTATGCCAAATTTGCTAACTAGTTGATCCATAAATACTAGAGATTATCAAATTTATTTTGTAATCTTTGGTGAAGATGTGGATAGCTACAATATATGAGATTTTTTTTAATTTATATTAATTTTTTAAAAGATAGCATTTAGATTTATATCCGCATCTTGCATGCACCCGATTACATTATGTGGCCGCTTGTAAAAAAACACAGTGTCCCCTATAACAATAAGTGAATAACTCTTACAATATTGACTGAGTAATTCCTATAACACTGACAAAGTAATCCTTGTAATGTTGACCGGGTAACAACAACCCCATAATAGTTAGTCACACAATGTCACCAACCATATAAGAATTTCTGTTAAGAGTTATGAGGCTGTTTTGGAGCCTTGTAATTAAAAGGTAAGAAAATGACAAATTGGTATAGTTAAACGCGGTTGTATGTAAATCTACATGCAATTGGGTTTTTGTCTTTATTATCTAACAATGTGTTTTATGTTTTTTAAATGATAAGGGTTTTTATAAAGGAAGTTTATGCTTTTTATGTCTTTATTCGTTTTCAATTGTCCTATGTGCTTTTAATTTTTACAAATGTTGTTTATATTCATATTTGTGTTTTTATATAATGTTATGTGCATTTGTATTATACATATGTGCTTTTATCACAATAAAGTACCAAAACGTTCCCAGTTACATGTAGAATTGCATGTAACCAAGTGTATGTTCTAATTTGCAAAAAATATGACTCATTTATCATTAATTATATAAAAATAACTATTGTAACAGGGAAAAAAAATATACTACGGAGTATCTTAGGTAGTTAGGCATGACAATATAAGTGTAAATTGTGGGGAAGTTTTTTTGGTAATTTGTATTTAGCAAGGCTGTAATTAGAGGTTAAAAAAAAGTCTGTAGAGATTTTTAGAATTGAAGGTTTGAAGAGTTGTGATTGAAATTTAGAAAACTAACTCCTCTAATTGTTAAGTGTTCATGTTAGCCTAGTGTACACAATTTATAATACTTATAACATCTTTTTTATAATTGCAATTACGGTACTTGTTAAATTTGGAGCTAGTAACATCTTTTAACATGAAGCTAGCATATGTTGATTTTTTTTTTTTTTTTTTTTTTTTTTTTTTTTTTGAGAAAAGAGGGAAAAATTACTTAAATAAGGTTAGCATATGTTGATGTTACTAGCAAGTATATCTCATATAAGATCTCAAGTAGTGACTAGTGTGAGTAAATGAGCAATACTCACCCTATTCTTGCTTCTCTTCTCTGTTTACGTTTGTGCCTCATCTTTAGCAACTGTAATACATTGTTAAAATTTTGCATAAGGAAAAGTTGTCTTGCCTGTAGCTTGACTACGTGATGATGTCTTTACAATTAGAGAAGGAGACTGTTAATAGACTGATGTTAATGTAAGGAGAACCTGCAGGCTGCAGGGCGGATAGAATTTTTATGGTTTACGCTAGTTTACACTTTGTTAATTGTTACAGATGATAGGAAAAGCTGCTAAATTTTATTTTAGCTAGTTAACTGACGGGTGCATATGGACTGTCTATTGGTAAAGGTGTGGAGTAGCAACAGCAAGAAGAGGAGTTTTCTTGTGTGTAGTGAGACCAGGGCCTTCAGACATGTCGAACATTTTGCCATTGCCTCCTGCAGGCAACGTCCACTTGAACTTGTGACTAAGGTTTGCTAACACGAGCTCGATATTAGTTACTGCAAATGATATTCCTGGACAAATCCTTCTACCCCTCCAAATGGAAGCAGCTCGTAGTCTTGGCCTTTGTAGTCTAGAGAAGAATTCAAGAACCTCTCAGGACGGAACTCCTCAGGATCTTTCCATGTAAGAGGGTCTCTCTGGATTGCCCAAGCATTAACAAAAACTAGAGTCCTGGCAGCAATGTCATAACCATCTATTTTGATATCTTCGGTTGATTCACGAGGCACCAGTACTGGAATAGGTGGATGCAACCGTAGACCCTCTTTGATCACCGCTTTCAAGTAAATCATCTTCTCTATATCATCTTCTACTATGTGATCTTTGTCACCTGCAGTTCCTCTTACCTCTTTTTGCAGTTCATCCTGTACCCTGGGATTACTTAAGATCTCTGCCATTGTCCATTCTAGCAAAGCGTAAGACGTATCAGTTCCTGCTGCAAATGCATCCTACATGAAACAATTTGGTGACAACATCTTAGGACGTCAAGACTCTACTATAATCTTATTGTCTGTTTTTTGTTCGTATGAAAGAAGAAATTTTATTAAAGTGTCAAATTAACTTACCAATATCATAGCTTTGATGCTATCTCTTTCAAGAGGAACAGCTGAATTTTCCTTCTGAATTTCAAGTAAAACATCTACAAAATCCTTACCTTGGTTCTCATTCTTACCATCACCAAAAGTTCCTGCTCGATTAAGTCAATCAGAGTGCTCGTGCTCTGTAAGTATCTCTTCCAGTATCATATCAAAGCCTTTGGCAACTTTCTTCAATCTTTTATCTACACCATTAAGTCTATTCACCCAAGACAACCAGGGTATGAAATCCCCAACATTAAATATCCCTAACAGCTCCTCAAGTTCTTTTAAGACCACCTTAAAATCAACACCATTTTCCTTATTTCCACTGTATTTTCCTCCAAACGCAACCCTGCATATCACATCATTGGTGAAGAACTCAAACATTTCGCTCAAATTCACAACTGAACCATTTTTTTGCTGAACCCTTTCCATCAGCAAAGCTACTTCTTCCTCTCTGACACCCCTGAAAGACCAAACTCTTCTGCTGCTCAAAAGGTGAAGCATGAAAATACTCTTCTTCTGCCTCCAATGTTCTCTGTAAGGCGCAGAAGCTACATCCCTGCAATTGTAAAGCAGCTTTTCATATGTGCTTGACTTAATTCTGCTGGAGACTGCAGCATCATGTGTTTTCATGATTTCTTTCGCTACCCTTGCAGACGAGACTACAAGTGTAGGTTTGCTCCCCAAAAAGATCATCATAAGCTCACCATATCGCTCAGACAAGGATCGTAGAGAGCGGTGAGGGAGCATGCCTATTGCCTAGCTTGTGAAGATGTCCTAGGATTGGCAATCTTGGCGGAGATGGCGGTAAGTTTTTAGTTTTTGAAAAGACGGTTGAGATCCATTTGTATAGGAAGAGTAAGAACAAGAGGGAAGGGAAAAGAAATGAGATGGGATGCATATAAATGGAGCTTTAGTATTTTCTTTGCCATTTCTGGAGTACTACATATATTCATCATTTTCTAAAGAGCAAAATATTTTTTTGTTTGATGTTTTCTTAAAGATGTAATTGGTCTTAAGTAGTCATGAATAGATAGCAATGGAAGAAATCAGTTTGGTGTCCTGTTGCTCTGTATATTTCCTTTTTATAGAAAAAGTAGTGAACTATGTAATTCTGTCATGTGTTTAAATTGATTGTATTTTGCAAACCTATAATTATACTAACATATAATAAGATAGATTAATAGTCAAAGTTGTATCTCAACATACGTGTTTGGTCAAAAGTTTAACACGTATTAATATACGGAAGGAGTATAGTCATATTATTAATTTTTACAGTATTGTTTTTACTAGCATATTTGTCCATTTAATAATGGTCAAGCTTGTGTATATGAGTATATGTCCAATTAAATTATGTTAGTTATTCTAAAACCCAAACATTACTCGTAATAGATTACAGATCTTTTTATTTACTTCAGTTGTAGCTATATGACATATCTCATGTATGCTAACTATAGCCACAACTTTTGGTTATTTTGGTATTACTATGTAAATCTTGTTATTATTACATGTTCACAGTAAGAATGTCGGCGACATCTTGACGACGTCATCTTTGCGGTCACTGTTGTAATGTTGTGATATGTCATATTGTGTAGTTTTGATGAACAAGGAAAGCTTCTATTGCCACATGCATTGTACCCTCTCCTCTGTTTGATATGTGTCCTTGTATAATCTCTCTATACGGTTTTCGTTCTTAGCCTGAAGCCTTATACCCTGCTGCTCTGTTTTCTCAGGTCCTGTCTTTGGCGGCTTTGGCATTCGCCGATCTATCAAGACACTATGACTCAGAAAGCCATATACAGCTTGTAGTTTGCCGTGGTATATGGTCCGGTACAGAATAATAAGATGAGGTAACAAGAATAAGTTTTTTTTATGATTGTGTGGATTGGCCTATGTGAATGTTCGCGGTAAAGTATCTTCACCCTCAAGTATACGTTAAAACGTGAATTTTCCTAAAGTTTCGTCTTTACTCATTAATACCTTAAGTAAGTATTACTCCCTTCATCGTTCACCCCTAATAAAAGTTTTATTTAACCCAAATACCTCATTGTACATCCTTACGAGCTACAACATTCAAGTTAGTGTTTATTATTGACTATTCAAATTTTACACAATGTTGGTTGTTGGCATGACACCATTGTCAAATAGGCTTGGTGCTAGGGCCAAATATGTGTGACCTATTTTTGGCATGCTTTGCATATTTTTTATTTTCCTCTTTTGCTACACCAGATAAAGTGGATGGGGTATATGTAAAATGTTGGAGAAAAGAGTGATGAGTTGGTGACATTAAGTCAAGGTTGCAAAAGAAAAGGAAAGGTGACATTAAGTCAAGGTTTTGCTTCACTGATAGTATTTTGAGGGAGAATGTCTTGCTGAATTGGGAAGATGTTCTTGAAGTTTAGAAATCCAATCAATACATTTACGGATACTGGATATTGCAAATTTCTGATATTGGATATGGAATATCTTTAATCGAATTCGTGCTTACACATGTAGCCACACATAGAAAGTAATTGAGGAAACACAAAATCCTTATATTATTAAGAAGTACTCATATTAGCATTTTATACTATACGTATATTGGCCCGTTCTTGCCTATACTCCCTCCATTCCATTAGAATTGCCTAGTAATCAATTTTTATGAGATCTCTTTTAGGTCAAATAGTGGACTGGCCGGAGTTTTAATAAATAAAACGGCAAATAAAATTGTTTTGGTCAATGCTAAACCATATAATATCATGTATTAGTGTATGGTTGAGGAGACAGAAAGAGAAGATTATGTGGTATTGCAATCTCATGAGTCATCACACTATGTTAATTGAATATAAATTGAAGATTATGTTTATCATTCTATGTTAATTTTTGGTGCATAAAGTCATCAACCCCCATGTTCATATCCTTGGCTATTAATGTATGTGGATCCTCACAAATTTTGACTTGAACAACCAAATCTACAACAGTGCCTTAAAATCTTCCTCTCCTAATCTCCCTGTTAATCTGTCATTTAAATTTGATTTTTCTACATGTAATTTATGAACCAATCATTGAGCTGGATTAGAAGTCACTCGAATACTCGATCATTAATTGTTTGTGGAAGCGAGCTTCTCCTCATGATTCTCACCTTAGAATTAACTTAGCCTGAAACATTAACGCCCCCGTTTGCTGTAGATTGAATAACATGTTGAGGTAACGAGATTCAATTTGTCTAAAATATTTTATGGAATTTTTTTATGTACTGCGGACATGTACAAATGTCGTCCGTAGTAATTAGTGCAGTATCACCTTCGAATATGTATCTAATTTACATTAATTAAATTAATAATAATACGGAGTACAAAATTACAATGACATAATCAAGCTAGAGATACTTGTATTTGATTCCTCAAGTTTTCTAAACATTGGAAATATCCATATTCAAAGTACTATTATACATTCCTGTATTAGTATTACTAGGACTTTTGCAACCTTCAGATGATTTAAAGCCAGCTATATTTGTAGTAGTATATATTAGAGACTAATGATAAACTAATGGTTCACTTTCTCTTCATACTAGAAAACATGTGGAGTAGCAACAGCAAGAAGAGGAGTCTTCCTATGTATAGTGAGACCAGTACATTCAGACATGTCAAGTGTTTCGGCACTGACCCCAGCAGGTAACGCCCAATCGAACTTTTGCACAAGATTTGCTAGCACAAGCTCGTTATTAGCTAACGCGAATGTCATTCCTGGGCACATCCTTCTGCCACCCCCGAATGGAATCAGCTCAAAGTCCTGTCGTTTTAACTCTGTTGAAGTGTTCAAAAACCTTTCAGGACGAAACTCCTCTGGCTCTTCCCATGTTGCAGGGTCTCTCTGTACTGCCCAAGCATTAACAAAAACAAGAGTCCTGGCAGCAATGTTGTAACCATCTATCTTTACGTCTTGGGTTGATTCTCGAGGAACCAGCAACGGAATTGGTGGATACACCCGTAGAGTCTCCTTGATCACCGCTTTCAAGTACTTCATTTTCTCCAAATCTTCGTCTGCTATGTAATCTTTACTTCCACCAATTTCTCTTACCTCTTTTTGTACTTCTTCCATGATTCTAGGCTTTCGTAAGAGCTCTGTCATCGCCCATTCTAGCACCGTGTATGTCGTATCTGTTCCTGCTGCAAAGGCGTCCTGCATGGATTGTACATGTAATTTCAGAACATAAGGAATTCTTGCACTTTTTTTTTTTTTTTTTTTTTTTTTTTTTTTTTACCTGAAGTTGATGATGCAACTATGAAAGTATAACAGTATAAGGAGATTAAAGAGGCATGCCATAAGAAAAGCTTCCTTACAAATCAAAACAAAGAAAAGTTGTTATACTAGAGGCGTACAAAACTTACCATTACCAAAGCTTTGATGCTCTCTCTTTCAAGAGGAAAACCTGTTGAATTATCCTTCTGCACATGAAGTAAAACGTCGATAAAATCCTTTACTCCATTCTCACCATCATTATAATCTCCTGCTCGATTGAATCGATCAGTGTGCTCTGTAAGTATCTCTTCCAATAGCAAATCAAATGTTGTTGCAACTCTCTCCGCTTTTGAATTCAAACCATTGAATCTATTCACCCAAGCCAACCAAGGTATAAAATCTCCAATATTAAAAGTCCCAAGCAACTCAACAAACTCCTTTAATACCAACTTAAAATCAACACCACCTTGTTGATGATTTTCGGTGTCATATTTTTTCCCAAATGCAACCCTGCATACCACATCATTCGTCAACCCCATAAACATCGCGCTCAAGTTCACAACTGATCCATTACTTTGCTGTATCTTCTCCATCAGCAAAGCGGTTTCTTCCTCTCGTATACCCTTGAAAGACCGAACTCTTCTGTTGCTCAAAAGTTGGAGCACAAATATACTCTTCATCTGCCTCCAATACTCTCCATAAGAGGAAGCAGCAACATCCCTGCTATTGTACAACACTTTATCGTTTATGCTAAACTTACCTCGATTGGATATCGAAGCATCGTGTGTTTTCATGATCTCTTTCGCTACCCTTGCAGACGAGACTACAAGGGTAGGCTTGCTCCCTAAGTAGATCAACATAAGCTCACCATATCGCTCAGACCAAGATTTGAGAGTACGGTGAGGGAGCTCACCTAGCTTAGGAAGATGTCCTAGGATTGGCACTTTTGGTGGAGATGGAGGCAAGTTATGAATTTTCGAAGAGGTTGTTGATAGCCATTTGTATAGGAATAAAAGGAACAAGATCAAAGAAGGGAAAGAAAATGAGAAGGGATGCATGTAAAATGACTCGTTAAGTACTTTCTCTAACATTTTTACAACACTACTAAATTGACAACGTCGGTTGGCTACTTCGACGATACAGCTCTATAACACTTTAGTCTCCTAGAGACAAAGGGATATAGATATACACTACTAAACTCGAAGTGTTGTTACACAAACTCAAGATACACAACTCTTATTGATTTGGTTGATTTACGTAGTATTGTAGTGCTATTTATAGGCTAATTTTCACTATTACATACATACAAACCGACTAATTAATGGTACAATATGGTACATAATTACAATATGCCGTCTTTGTTAGCACACCAAAATGAAGCTACAAACTTTCTTCATAGAATCTGCCATAAATGCTATGCTTGAAAGTCTATGATTGTGGCCGTTCAGAACACCCGAAATCATATAGTGTTGTACTCTTGCTTGTTCGATCTCCACGTTTCACGTTACGATACGAATTTAAGTGTGAATACATCAAAACATGGTATGACTCTAGAGCTGAAGTGACCGCAAGTTCGGAACCAACAAGCGGACAACCTCCTTTAAAACAATTTTTTGACTTCAAAGAGTGTAGAACTCTGCTGAGATCTAATATAACATAAAAAAATACCGACAATGAACCGGGTAATTCGTATGATAATTCAAACAACATTATCTCTTCTTCATTGATGTGTTAGTTGTTGGATTTTGACCTCAACAACCAAACTCCATCTGTTTGTCTTGTATTATTATCATCATTAATGATTTCCTTCAAAATAAAAAATATCATCATTAATGATGTGTGATGAAATGATGAATCCTCATGCCGTTTATATTATTTTCGTTTGTGACTCCCTATACACCCTAAAGTCGAAATGGGCATGTTGTGTAAGTGCCGTATGATATCTGAGATTAATTTTAAATGTACTATGAGTACACATACTAGTATCAAGTTTCATTGATTAAAAATCTTTATTAGGCTAAGTATAAGCTCGTGTTAGAGAAAAGTCAACTACATGCTATGTTACAAAGTGGATATGGATTAGTCCAATATTGATGATGTTAGTCTTCTTTTTTCCATGTAGGATAGATATTGATCACTCAAATGTGTGTCTATTCTCTATTACTCTTGAAGATTGATTTGATTATACTTTACTCCAAAATATGGATTTAGAAACCCAAAATAAAATAATCTTCTCATCCTTTGTACAGCAATTCTCTTTATTATTATATTACAAGAAAAGTCAATCTAATGTCCAAAATTTACTTTTAAATTTCCATTAATCTATAAAAAAAACACAATTATGTTTAATCTCGTATTTTAAATTATTTATTTCCATTTGTATATCTAATCGACAATTACAAAATTAGTTTTTTTTTCTTGGTTTTTTTTTTTTTTTGGCGGTCGGTTTCTTGTGCAGTGTGTGACTTATAATCTGGATAGGCAAATTAAAATCTATTTACCTCGTCAAAAATTGACACTTCGCTTTATAGCAACCACAAAATTTATGTGATTATTCTTATCAAAGTTGTTACTTAGTATGGTTGAACCTCGTTTTTTTGGACGGTTTAAACTTATCTGCATGTCATGGTGCCTTCGATTTATGAGCATATATGATCCCTATAAGTTTAGCTTATTTCTACAAGTTATCCTTCCTCAATAATACTCGTTAATTGCATACACTTTTCTTTCTTCCTTTGGTAGAACTTTGAGCGAAGTTACAGGAAAGAACCAGATAAATAAAGATTATAAAGTCATTCACTTCATTAGAATTTGGCAAAATTAGTGGAATCAACCCTTAAAAGTGGCACTCCCGTATTAGTGCAACGTATAAGGAATTTCTCATATTATTATACACCGTAATTCGTTAATTCCTACTCCAAATCTTATGACGTCTGCGTATCATTTTTTTATCCTCCTTAGTCGTTACCACTTACCTTTCTTGCATATCGTCTCCAAATCTTATAAACAGTGTGATGTCAAATATACCTGTAAAATATGCATTTACATGCTAATACTTATTAATGTGTACAATTTTTTTTTTCCCATTCATTAATGTTAATTGTTTTATTTTTATTTTTATTTTTATTATTTAAAACTGTTTGTGCATATTTATATTCCTAATATATTTGTTTACATATTTTCCATTAAAGTAATCAATCGCTGAAAAAGTTCCCCGATAACGCACATTAGTCACTCTAATCAAATAAAATATAAGAAAATAATACTCACGCTGTATCCAAATAAATGTAATGGTTTAATTAATGTACTTCACATACCAACTGTAACTTTGACTTAATTTATATTATACTATTATATAGAGTACCAACATAATGTTATTGAATAAAGCTTTACTAGATTAGTCACAATTTATATTTCTATAATATCAACTTTGTATTAATTTTACTAATATATAATAAAATATTAAAATGTATTAATATGTTGGTCAAATAGATGCACTCTTTTAGGTATTAAGGGGGTAACTTTATTTCCACGTCAATAAAAAAAATAAGTTCAATGTCTATTTAACTTGGTTTAAAATATTGGAAGTGTACTTAAAAGTAGAAGTTAATTGGATGATATTTATCTAAGTTATTCTAACTTATTTGAACTTATTAGACATTATTATAATAACTTATTTATAAACTTAACTTAAATAGCCTTATGAATGCGAGGAATAGCTTAGCTGGTTAAAGTTTTTCTCACAAATCAAGGGGATCCTAGATTGATTCTCAAAACCCGTCTGTGTGACTTTCTAAACATATATAAAAAAAAAATAATTAAAAAAAAAAAAAAAACAACAACAACAACTTAAATAGCCATAACAGATTTGGCCCTTAAATAGAATTATCTTATTTTAACTAAATTGTTACATCATGTCATTGTGGCTCTATTTACACTAGTTTTAAGTTAATCTCTTATATGTAGAACACAAATTCTTATTTGGCTGGCTACATACACCGTGTGGCCAAGTTGAGGTTACCTTGTTAGTGTTATAGAGATTACACAGACAGTGTTATAAAGGTTACTTTGACGGTGTTATAGGGGTACTCGATTAGTATACACATGTTATTCGGTCAGTATTGTAGAGGCTATTTTATTCTTTTATAAGTGGTCACATGGCGTAGCCAGCCGCGCACAAAATGTGTTGTGATATAATGCTTTGTAAATTTAAAAGAAAAAAAAATGCCAATGCTGGAATATGGAAATAATCTTTGAGGCAAATTCAAAAAAAGAATAGACACCTTTATGTTTAGTGTTCTAAAGGGGCGTTTGGTTCGCGAAATATATGTATGAGGTATGAGTTTAAAATGACTAAAACTCATACCATATATTTTGTTGTCAAAAGTATGAATTTTAAACACATACCTCAAACCCATCAAGTATGGGGTTTAGAAACCTTGGGGGAGGTGGGTTTAACTCATTCCATTCTCTTAGGTATCAAATAAAGGAAGAAATAGTGAGAGATTTCATTCCAGAATTGAACCACACACAGTAATTAGTATTATGTATCAAGTTGCAACCCGTTACAACCCTTTTTTTTTGTTGACACAACAACCCGATACTACCTTCTTTTTTTTTGTTGACACAACAACCCGATACCACCTTTTTTTTTTTGACGCAACAACTCGATACCACCCTTTTTTTTTTGTTGACACAACAACCCGATACAACCTTTTTTTTTTTTTTTGAACGGAACCCGATACCACCTTAATTCCATCTTATTTCTAAATCCAAACACCCCCTTGGAGATAGAGGAGGAATACGATCCAACCCGACTCGCTTAAGCACAAGATCTGCTAGCCCAGCCCATACTTTTTGATCCATAAGTTGCCTCAACAAGTCCAACCAACTCCTTAAATCCTTAATGACCTTAACTAGAGTTGGAACAACATACCGAATATGCGAACCTAATTCCAACCCTAGTTAACAACACCTTTAATCACAATTATTTAATCACAATTACAAAAGCAACAACACAACGTGAAATACACAAAATCCAGAAAAAGTCAATTTATTAAATCCAACAGTAATAAAACCATCCACGTGTACGTCCCCGATTTCATCTCTCAACCGCCTTACCAATCTCATCGGATTCCCCTATAATCTTCATCTGTGTTAGGTTAGGGTTTTTTCTCACCTCAAAATTTTCCCCAATTCTTAACTTTCTCTCTCCTCAAATTCTCTATTTCTCTCTCTTCAATCGACTTTCTCTCTCATCGATTTCGAAGCTTTTTGCAATGGAAACTGAACGAGTTACCGAGTTTCCTATGACTCATCTTGATCGTCGTCCCAGGAAGCGACCTCGTCTGGGATGGGATGTTGCTCCTCAAACTACCAAGGTATACGATCTTTTCTTTTTTTATTTTGATTTTATTGTTTTCGGTATTTTTTTAGGCTAGATCTGGTGATATTTGATTCAAATTGGCTGAATTTATTGAATTTTATTTGTGAATTTGATCTGATTTTAATTTGGTTGATTCTTGGTGGATTATTGTATTGATTCAATTATATTTGTTCAGATCTGTTGTTTTATGTTTGTTAATCATCTTTTAACTATTTATGATTGTTTGATTTCGCAAAGTTTTGGTATTGTAATGAAATTGAAGTTTTTTGTTACATGTTATTTCAAGAATTTATATGTTTTGTAGCTTTTGAAATCATGGATTGGTAGATTTTGTTGAATTTAAATTTTATGCAAACGTTTTATTTTTCTTTGATGACTTTGAAAGAAAAGTTAAATTTCTGATTTTTATTTCACGCTTGAGGAGATGTTAATCAAATTAATGTTTTCTTATTTCAAATTGTTGATGGGATCTGTTTAAAATTGATAGCTAAGATTTATTTTATGAAGTTGGTTTTTTAATTTGATTTCAAGTGTTATGAACAATGATATATGGGAAAAATATTTGAAGTGAAGTAATGAAACAAAAATACCCAGAAAATAAAAGAAGATAGGGTTTTGTTTTTGTGTTAACTTGAGCGAAACATGGATGAATGGCTGTGTGTAGGCTCCAATAGGTATATTTTGTGGACAAGAGATTGGGAATGTTTCAAGCTTTGCACCGTCAGCTGCACTTTCGGAACATTCTAGTCCCCTGTTTAGCAAGGGAGTGGCAAGAAATGGTTCTCCCCCGTGGAGGGAAGATGACAAAGATGGACATTACATGTTTGAGCTTGGAGATGATTTAACTTCTCGCTGTAAATACACTCTCCATTGTTCAAACTGTTCTTTTACTTTTGTGTTACTGGTTTGCTTGTCCTAAGTAGATATGATGGTCATTCATTATTAATATATATTTACGAATTAATAAAGTTAAAGGTTGCATTCAATTTGGCTGGGGGTATTCCATACTTTAGTCCTAATATTGATGCAACTTTAAAAACATTAAGCATTTAGCAGTATACTCATGTAGACTAGTATAGCAAGGTGGTTCAGATTTATATTGGTACATGGTATTGATTACTTCTTTTATGTCTTTTCAGATAAGGTCCACAGCAAAATGGGTGAAGGTATGTATAAAGTGAAAGGTTTATTAATTAAGGTTAGTGATCTTTGTGTTATGGAATCTTATGCGAATCACATTTGGCCTCAGGTACCTTTGGTAGGGTATTGGAGTGCTGGGATCGTGAGAGGAAAGAAATGGTGGCAATAAAGATTGTACGTGGCATTAAAAAGTACCGTGAGGCAGCAATGATTGAAATTGATGTTTTGCAACAGCTTGGTAAACATGATAAAGGAGGCAATCGGTGAGTTATATTTCTGTTTTGCATTTGCACCTCTGTGCTTGCTGCCATTGATGGCACTGTCACAGAGGCTTTTTAAGTTTGACTGCAGTGGTTAAATTGTTTTGTTCCTTGCAGTTGTGTGCAATTACGGAACTGGTTTGACTATCGTAACCATATCTGTATTGTAAGTATATAGTTGATTTAGAATGGGTTTCCCCAATTACACATAAGTTTTGGGGTTAAGAAATCATTGGTGAATTGAAATGGTCTTAACAGGTCTTTGAGAAGCTTGGACCAAGCTTATACGATTTCCTTCGCAAAAACAATTACCGCACCTTTCCCATTGATCATGTCCGTGAGATTGGAAGACAACTGTTGGAGTGTGTAGCATGTGTGTACTAAAATATATCTTCCCTTAGTTATACTGATTTTGTTGTTGTCTTACCGGCATCTAGTTCCTTAGGCACATCTTTGATTTCCCTTTCCCAAGATTATAAATTTGTTATCTTCTCGGGGAAGACATCATAAGAAATCATTAACTGTCATGTCTGGGTTTTGTTTGGTTCATGACATTGAGCTTTTTGGAAAATGTTGCAGTTATGCATGACCTTCATCTTATACACACTGATTTGAAGCCTGAGAATGTGCTATTAGTCTCACCAGACTATGTTAAGGTCCCTGATTACAAGGTCTGGTTTTCGGCTACCTTTTGTGTTGCATTGGTTAACCTTTAGTGTTTCTGTTGTTGTTGTGTATTGCATTTTGATGTGATGTTTTGTACATGTTATCTCTGCTGCCCTTGCACCTACTTAGTTCTGAATAATCTTTGACATTGAATGCAGGGTTCTTCTCGATCACCCAAGGATAGCTCATATTACAAGAGAGTGCCCAAGTCAAGTGCTATAAAAGTCATTGATTTTGGAAGCACTACATATAAACGTGCAGATCAGAATTATATAGTGTCAACTCGACATTATAGGGCTCCTGAAGTTATTCTTGGTACAGTTCTTGTTACATTGTACTGAATGTTTGCCCTAATCCTGTGTGATTTTACTTGTGTTACTGAGATACTTTTTGAAATATGTAGGCCTTGGTTGGAGTTACCCATGTGATGTTTGGAGTGTCGGTTGTATCCTTGTGGAACTCTGTTCTGTAAGTCTGCCTTCTTGATGATAATTATGGATCCTTTAATTTTTTTTATGAAATATCTTGACCTTGTATTCCTTTTTTTAATTATAGGGGGAAGCCTTGTTCCAGACACATGAAAATTTGGAACATCTTGCAATGATGGAGAGGGTGCTCGGTCCATTGCCACAGCATATGCTTAAGAGATTAGAGTAAGTACTAATCATTTTGGGGAATAAATATAGTAGAAGTGGGGTGGGGTACAATGATAATGTGGGTTACAGTGGTGATGTGTTCTACTTGAATATATTTAACTCTGCTTATTATATTGGCAGTCGGCATGCTGAGAAGTATGTTAGAAGAGGTAGATTGGACTGGCCAGAAGGTGCAGCTTCTCGGGAGAGTGTTAGGGCAGTTTCAAAGCTTCTACGGCTCCAGGTATTAACATGTCGATTATTGCATAATGACGCAATGTTTTTTACCTGTTTATCACTTGTGATGTGTTGATGATATCGTTAATTTTTGTTTCTGTTTCAGAACCTTGTAATGCAGCATGTGGATCATTCTGGTGGTGATTTCATACACCTTCTACAAGGTCTGCTTAGATACGATCCGTTGGAGAGGCTCACAGCTCGTGAAGCTCTCCGACATCCATTCTTTTCTCGTGATAATCTCAGGCGGTGAAATGTACAAATCTGGGTGCCATCTAGTTTAAAGAAGAGGGAACTTGTTATCCGTCAAGAAAGTGGTGAAGAAGATGTTTATAATTCTTGTGCCCAACTCTTATATTGTAAAAGTTGCCACATGATGGATTACAAGTTCTGCTTGTGCTGGTCGAGTTTTGTATTCTAACCTATCCTTGAGGCACATGTCTCAAAAGTGTATATATACTTTTTTTGGTCACAGTGCTGTAAAGAGTATTGTTGTATTGATTTTCTTTATATAACAACACTGGAGTTTGGTATTTGAAATAAAAATTCCCTTAATATCTGCATTTTGTATCGCCCCATATTTTTATTTTTAAATGTTCATCTCATGGAGATCAAAGTTGATGTTAACCTCTTCAGGCTCTTCTAGTATTTCTTGGATTGCTGCTAATATGTCAAATCGTTTCTAATCAAAGCAGTCTCTTGCAAATGAGTATTCACCGGTTAACCCAACGACATTAACAAAAATGAGTCAATATGCAGATGTTATTGTCTATACCTGGCATTGTACATTGGAAGGTCCCTTGTTGCAAACTTGCAATGTACATGCAACTATGAACTATGCAATGTCGGTTGAAAATTGCAGTATATGCTTAGCTTTAGGTTGCCCGAAAATTATATGCTAGGCGCTCTTAATAACTTTTGATTGGAGATGATTTTGTGAAAATGTATTCAAAGAATCTCTTTATCTAAGATTCTAATCATAGTTATTAATTTACTACTTCTAGTTGCTGCATTTGCAGTTGTTAATTGGACGTTCTACCGTGTGTTTATCACTAATAACTTCCTGCTAACCAATGTTGTAATACAAATCAATCAGTTTTGTTATATTAAGATAAAACTATGATAGTTTCGTCTAATGTGTGTTATATGTAATCAAAACTGTTCCTCAATGCCTTGGTTGCTCTAAGAAAGAGTAGGGCCTAATGCTCGTAACAATCAAGCTAGATAAGATCATAAGAATAAACTTAGCAATGGATATATTCTGTAATAAAAGCGCTTTAGTATATAGGGCTTTGTTATGCATTAGTAGTTTTCGAGCAAGCGTTTCATTTTTCATTTGTGGGGAGCTTGAGATAAGCATAAATGTCAACCATAGTTGAAAGTTTTTGCAGTATATATTCCCTCAATCCCTCACATTGTGCAAGTAGTTTTAGGTTTTGTTAGCTCTGTAGAACGATATAAAATTAAATTATTTAAAATCCTATTACAAGCTCGAACCAAAAAAATAAATCTTTGTAGCTTACAACTTACAAGTATTATTATTACTTCAAAAACCATTAGTTATTTATTACTACTAGAACATTTTCGAGTAATATGATTTGGTCATAATTAATTCTTGATTGTTGTTCATCCCGATTTCATTTTTAAAAATTATTAATATTCGATCAAAGTGGGGAATATAGGATCTTTAGCTATAATCCATGGAATAAAAACAGTCTTCTTTAAAATACAATTCATTATATTCTTGGTAGAAAGGAAAAATATTCATCAGATCAGCATATACTTGAAGCACAAAATTTCTCCAAAAAGCTATGCAAAAATAACAGCACAACTATTAAAATATAAGGTTCTACCGAGATTTGAACTCGGGTTACTGGATTCAGAGTCCAATGTCCTGACCACTAGACCATAGAACCAATTTGTGGTAAATTTTACAGTAGATGCTTAAGAATAATTTACTTCGTACTATGTTCTCAATATCAGTGAAGGGTTGTTTGTTTGTTACAGTGTTTAGAGAAGTAGTAAGTATTAAGTAAGCGGCAACCAACGGGAAAAATATATGTAGTAAGTGGTTCTTAAGGTTAACCGATTTAGGAATAGTTCTTACAAGTAATACAAAAGAATAAGTAATACTTCGTATGTAAGTAATGGATCTTTGTTGATTACAGTATTTTTTTTATAAATTGATAAAGAATTTGTGGTAAAATTATGAAATTTGAACCCCTAAAAAAAAAAAAAAAAAAAATAAAATAAAATAAAAATAAAAAGGTGTTGGAGACAACTATTGAAAACAACAAAAAAGAGTTTATGTAAGTGAATAAGCTGGGCTCTTATTGTCTATTGACAAGCTACCCAATTATGTCCATAAGATTCAAATGGCTCAATTTATACTTGAAAGGATGTTTATTGGTTCATTTGCCCCCAATTTATCACATCTCAAATTCTTTGCAACCCTATTGTGGGGGGTCCGATATTTATGAAAAAGGAATGAATTTTAAACAAATTTTATAAATAGAAAAATACTTTTAGGTTGACTATAAGAAGAATTTTGTAGTACTACTTGAATACCTTTTGTTTGTGGTGAGTTACTTGATTCTATTTAGATAACTTCTGATTGAAACGGGAGCATTAGTTTTATCAGTGGACTTACTTGCCCTATCTTGGCGGTCCTTCAACATAATCTCAAAGAATAAATTGGCCGATGGGATTTCGCACAACTAATTAACTTTATTCACCGTTTATAGCTTGATCACTTCAACTTAATTTCAGTTTAGTTTAGTTCATTTCAATTCAGCTCTTAATTTCCTTCTCTTATAAAATATTCAGTTCAGTTCAACTCTAATTAGTTAAGTTCAATTCAGCTTAGCTCTCAGTATATGTGAAAAGGCTCATAATAGGAACAAACACAAAATTATTAGTCCAGAACAATTAAGGGTATGTTCTCATTGACTGAACTCAGCTGAACTAAATTGAACTGTGCTGAACTAAACTGAACTAAAATGAATATTTTATAAGAGAAGGAAATTCGGAGCTGAACTGAACTGAACTGAACTAAGCTGAACTGAACTGAATTTCAACGTAAGAGAACAGACCCTAAGATTTTATTTTGAATTCTACATATTTTGTAGTAAAATTTATGGGCAAATACAAGTTTATCTGCCAAATAAATGAATTTTTATTAATCTGATGCCATTTATGTAAATATATTGAAAAGGCGTGGTAATTTATTCAGTACTTTTGGTGAGCTGTCCAATTAATGTTTGCAACTTGCATTTAGAAAATTACACATGTATACCTCAATTAGTACATAAAAAGACGCATGTGTTATATAGGGGATTAAGTGGGCACGGCTAAAAATTTATTTGAATAATTTTAGAGTTCATGTGAAGAGGTTCATTTTAGCAAATTATGTATTTTGGACATTTAAGTTGGTTAGAATTTATGCTCAGGTGAAAGACTCATTGGTATTGATTAGGTTTTGAATATTTGATAAAGTGAGCTCCTTCCCAAATTAAAGTCAAGAAGAACCGCAATTCCCAAATTGCAGCCAAAGTTTTAAGAATTCCCAAAGTACCGTCCACGTCACCGGTTCAGGGGGAAGAAATTTTAAATCCGGTCTACAGCAAAACCGCTACCTGAAGTAACCGCTACCTGAAGTAGCGGTTTTTACTAATAAACCGCTACTTCAGGTAGCGGTTTCTTTTTAATAAACCGCTACTTCAAGTAGCGGTTTTTGTTTAATAAACCGCTACTTCAAGTAGCGGTTTTCTAGCACGTATAATTTCCTGATTTCACTTTCCTCTTTCATTTTCGTCTTCTCACCAAAATCCCATCCACGCCTTCCACCAAAATCACACCTCCTTCAACGGAAGCCGGCGCAGCCAAGGAATCCACCGACGCCGCCGGAGCATTCCTCAGCAACGAAGGTCGCCGCTGTTGACGCCGAGGGTTCGACTTTAGTGGTCGGCTTCGCTAATTTCAGAAGAAACGTGCTGATCTTCTTGTTTGTGGTAAGTGCCCTAATTATTTTTTGTATTCAGTTATTGGGTTTGTTGTTGTTATTGAGTTTGTTGTTGTTATTGAGTTTCAGAATTGTATGTATGTGTTGTTGTTGGTTTTGGTTGTGTTGTTGTTGTTAGTGTTCTTGTTTATTGTTGTTGTTATTGAGTTTCGGTTTTGGTTGTGTTGTTGTTGTTAGTGTTCTTGTTTATTGTTGTTGTTATTGAGTTTCAGAATTGTATGTATGTTTGTGGTTGGTTTTGGTTGTTGTTGTTGATTTACTTACCTTACATATAACCCTTGTAGAATTATTAATGGTTTCGATCACATTACTCAGTTTAGGTTGCTATAATTGCTGATTTTGAAAGTGAAAATAGAGCTTCTATACACAAAGTACATGAGCCCAAAGTACATGTAGTCATGACTTATGCCCATGTTGAGCTTCAAGAGGTATTAAGACCTTCATAGCTCAGTTTAGGTTGCTATAATTGTGTAGTTTGCTTGCTTGATGTTAGGACATTGCCACACTGTTAATGAATTTTTGCAATCTAATATCTTTGATTAATAATGGTCTTTTCTAGAATGAAACATGGAGGTTCCGAACTACCCTCTATATTGCTATTGGGGTGGAGAAATTGTCCACAAAGATAGCGATATAATGTATAGGGGTGGGAGGGTTCATATGAACAGTTGCCTAAGTACATGCAAGCTCTCAAGGAATCAAATCCTGGAACTGTTGTTGAGTGGAGGTTGTTAGAGTGTACGGTTCCTGGAACACATGTTTTTCAACGAGTCTTTTGGGCATTCAAGCCATGTATTGATGGATTCCGTCACTGCAGACCCCTTATCACCATTGATGGCACTCATTTATATGGCAAATACAAAGGCACTCTACTCATTGCTATGGGAACGGATGCCAATTTTCAACTATTCCCCCTTGCTTTTGCGGTTGTCGAAGGAGAGAACAATGATAGTTGGTCTTGGTTCATGGCTTGTATTCGTGCTCGAGTTACAGATAGGAAAGGGCTATGTGTGATATCTGACAGACATGCTGGTATTTTAGCAGCAATGGAAGAAGTTGGAAGTGGTTGGGAGGAGCCCAATGCCTACCACAAGTACTGTACACGACACTTGGCTTCTAATGTGAACTCAAAATTTAAAAGTGTCGTCATAAAGAACCTCTTCCCCGGCCATGACAGAGTACATGGCTTGGTACCGTCGCATCACGAGACTGGTCATTACTCCACCTTCGCAGGAGCGCCCCCCGAGTCATTACCAGCCAGCTACCTCTGACCTCCTGCTTGTATGAACTTCACTTCATTTCAATCTAGTTCTTACATTTTTGATTTCATTTTACTAACATTAAAACTACACTTAAATGTAGGCACATGCATTTGCTGATTTGCACGTCCAGCTATCGGGAGCTACTGAGACCATCTCCCACTTGCCACCAGAGACGGCTATACCATTTGCCATACAGACGATGCAGGGTTTTACATCATTTTGTGGCCAAACCTTGTCTAGGGTGGGGCAGTCACACCTTATTCAGCAGCCTCGACCGTCCACGTC